GTACTGAAATATTAGCTTACTCAAGTTCTTGGCAAAAGAGCTGTATCCGAATTCGCTTTGAATGGACTGTAAATTCAGTCCATTCCCCTTCCTCCCCCGGGGGTGACTAACAGTAAAATTAAGTTAAAAGGATTAATTCAGTCTTCGAGAACCAGAGAAGTTGAAGTAAGAAGAGGTGTCTTGGACTGGTTTGGGATTAAATTGGAGCTGGTTTTATCCTAGAGTGATTAGTCTCAGATTAAAGAGACAAGAAAAGCCTTTGAGGGTGATGCTGATCATCAGAACCGTTCAGTGGAGATCAGGTTACAGTGATCTGAGCTGTTCTCCCTTCTGCCTCCAACATTCAGAAGGGGAGAAGAATTTCGTCTCAGTGCAGAGTCAGTCTCTCACAACGTGCGCCCAGCCACCCTGTCCCTGCTGCTGCGTGTCTCCACCTAGACGGGCTTCACAGACGGGGACCAGTCTGCTTAGGTCCCTGTTGCTAGAGCAGCCTCACAGCCTCGCTCCTGTTTTCCTCGGCACTGCTGAGTGACCAGGAAGCATCAGAGAAGCAGCAAAACAAGTGGACCCTTGGTCCCAAACTGTCACCAGTGCAGACAACCCACGCCATTCAGAAACGGACCCGGAGTCTGACTTCCTCAGCGACCACCCGGGTTCCTTCCTGCGGTGGCTGCTGCAGGGTTCAGGTCAAGGCAGCTGCTGCCCTACCTGGGCTGCTCAGGGCGGAGGCCAGTGTCACCACTTACCACCTGGGTGACCTCAGAGAAGTTACTTAGCCTCTCACTCTGCTCAGCTGTGAGCTGTGAGTCTTGATAACCTACTTTTCCAAAGTGCCTCTGTCCCTCGAGAAACCTCGGCAACACCTGATACGTCCAGCAACTTACAGGTAAATAAATGCCTTCAGACCGTCCAGACGCACCTGAGGTTACGTCTCAGTTACCCACGCAGCCTGCGGGGTGCACCACGGGATCCAATCGCACGGGGTGAATGCGGGCCTCTTACCTGTGTCCACTTCCTCCGTGAGGTCTCCGTGTGGGCACTGCTGGTGCAGAGAAGCCCCTCCCAGTGTCCCAGGTCCCTGTCTTGGCCTTGCCAGCAGCCGCACCCCTCCGCAGCCCTGAGCACGTCTCCAGCTTTATTTGATCACGGGAATTGCACAGCGTCCCAGTCACCCTGCACCCACAGAGCACAGCATGGTGTCTGCAGCATCACAGTGCTTGACAAATGGTCTTCAGATAATTGTGCCCTGAGAACAGGCGGCTTCCTGTGTTTCCCTGGGCGTCAGAAGTGCCTTGTTTCACAGAGAGGTGGCCCGTCCTGGAAGCCTCCAGCTGTGGAAAGGAGGAGGTCCTGCCAGACTTGCTCCCTGCTGCGGCCGAGGCAAGGCCTCCGGGCCTGGGCCACGAGGCTTTGTCAAGCGGGGTGCTCACGTGGCTGTTACGTGGGATCCCCTTTGTTCTCAGGGAAATCTGCCTTCAGATGAGGGCTTCCTGGGCTTTGTCTGAAGTGACACCAGGTTAGAGTCCTTCCGCCCATGGCCACCACCACCCTCTTCACTTCCTCCCCACGTTAAAAGTCCTCTCCTCCTTCTGGGTTAGGTTCTCTGCATCCTTCCAAGTGACAATTTGCAGGACCAAGCGACCCCTTCCTGCCCACCTCTGCCCTCAGCAGCTACCTGCTTCTCTGGGAGACAACCCTTGCCACACCCCGGCCTGGGCTTGGCAGGCGGGCAGCTCTGGTACGTCCTGCCGGCCACCCTCCTCCGGAAGGGACGTGTGTGTCTCTCTATCCAGAGGTTTCTTCTCTCAGACCAGATGTCCCCGTGGAGCTGGGCCCCTGGTTCCAGGCTCCTCGGGCTGACAGCTTTACAGTCAGAGGAGAACACTGGTCCCCCAGCCCCGCCGAGGACTCTGATTGGCCCGGCCAGGGTCACGTGCTTGGTCCAGTCCTGCGCCCGGGCAGACTTCCAGCCAAAGGCCATGTTCACAAGAACCAGGCATTAGAGCTAGAGGAAGACCAGTCCTCCAGGATGGAAGGAGACAGTCGGAGTGACGAAACAATAGATATTCACTACAGGGTCACTGAGGAAAAACTAGAAAATAGACACAAGGAAAACTAGAAAAAAAAATCACACGATCTTCTTACCCAGCATTAGCTATTGTTAACATTTTACTAAAATCCTCGCAGACATTTTCCTATGTGAATGTGTGAAGCTGCATATATACGTGTTGTCAATGTATTCACGTGTGCAATTGGTTAAGACCCTGCAGCAGGCCTGGTGGCCGTGCGCCCCTCTCCTCCGCAGCTCTGCGTCTGACAGCCCCCTCATTTGCCTCTGCTTCGGCCAGTGTCCTAACAGGGCTTTCTGCCGCTGTTCCCTGGCCTGATGCCTGTTACTTTTGTTTCTAAATGAGTGTATTATATGAGCGAATTTCTTGAGCCGCCCAGGCCTTGCTTCTCAGAGACATTCCGATCCAAGTCGCCTTTTCGCTAAGCCAGAGCTGCAGGCCTTAGCACTGGGCTGTCCAAGGAGGCCGTAGCCCCGGGCTGGGCCCTGGCTGGGAGGTGAGCGGCTGGGCCCTTAGGGGAGGCCATGCCACATGTTCGGAGATGTCTGTGCCTTTGTAAACCATTTGGACCTTGAGCAAGTCAGAGAGACAAAGAGGGACAAAGAGAGAAGCAGCAACCTCATCCCAAGTGCTGAGACACAGTGTTCCTCTCCGTCTTTCCAGGAAAAGGCGAGTGTCCTGGAAGCCAGGCACTTTCTAGGACAGCGCTGCCTCCGCAAGCCAGGCAGGACGAGGAGGGGAAGGAGCTCTCCCCGGCCTGCCTGCTCCTGCAGCTCGTGGCTTGGCCGGGCTAGGCACGGCCCAGGGGAGCACGCTGCTGCTTGGAAAGAGCTCGCAGCAGCTCCCTTGAGCTCTGGACGTTATTTGTGGAGCAGAAGGCAAAGGAGACAAGGGCAAAGACTCCAACCGAGACCTCACTGCCTGGTGGGGACCCTGATGGAGGGCTCTGGTCTCTGCGTTCAGGTTTGTTCAACCCACAGTCCCTGGAATAGGAGAACTTTGGAAGAAGGCAGAGTTGGAGCTGGACCAGACACTGGCCTGCACCCAAACCCCCTCACCCACAAGATGGTACTGCCCTGCCAGCTGACCCGAGGGGGCCCCAGAACCCGCTGAGCAAGCCTGGGTCCTGGCAAGGCTGCATCTGAAGGTCGAGGTAATGGCACAAAGGCCCCAGTGAGGCATCGCGGTTGTGTCCTCGTGGTGGGACCGCGAGTCCCCCACCCAGCCTTTCTGCCAGCCTCTGTCTCCCAGAGGCCAACAGCGGTGCCCATCTGCTCCGGCCCTCATCTAAGGGGGGCTGCTGTTGAGAACATTCTTTGGGCGCGAGGTGCGTACTCCCAGGGCCGATCCCAGAAGCCAGGCCTGTGTTGGGCTGGATCCGTCGTTTTGCTGCCTGAATACAGTCACCGGTATGCTGGTCACCAAGACCCAGCAGCTTCAGTGCCTTCTGGGACTTCACAGCCGCAGGGGCTGATCACATGTCCCTTCTGCGCTGTGGCTGGGATGCTTGGAAGGACCCGCTCCCACCTGGGAGGTTCTGGGATGGGCGGAGTCTGACCTGGGTGGGCGCTGGACGCCTCACCTCTGGCTCCTCCGGGGCAGCCTGGCAGGACTTCTTTCCTGCCCTGAACGCAAAGCTCCGCGCGCCCGGAGGGCCTGGGCTGTGCGGGGCACACCGGCTCCCTGCCGCCTTCCAGGGCCACTGTGCTCCTGGACTGGGCCCGGAGGGACGGAGCGCAGCTGCCGCCTGGTCCCGCCCCTCCCGGGTGCCCGGGTCCCGCGCAGGAGCTGGAAGCCTCCGCCTTCGCCCGAGGGTCCCGCGCGGGGCGCCCAGGGCCTCCTCCCCGGAGCCGGAGCCGCAGCGCGGGGCTGGGCCGCCAGGCCCCTCCCGCTCCCAGGCTCCTTCCTTTGGGGACGCTCAGTGCTCAAAACAAGCTTTCTGAGAACCATATTTTTCTAGGTTAAAGGTGAAAAATGCAGTGTTTCCTCCAAGTGGAAAGCCGGGCCCGCCAGCTCCGGGCACTTTTCCGAGCTGCTTCCTCCGGCGGGAGGCGGCGGAAGGGGAGCCGGTGGCCGGGCCGCGCCGGGAAGCGGCCTGTTTGTGTTGGAGCCGGGGCTGGAGAGGGCGCCGGGCTGGAGAGGGCGCCGGGGCTGGAGAGGGCGCCGGGGCTGGAGAGGGCGCCGGGGCTGGAGAGGGCGCCGGGCTGGAGAGGGCGCCGGGGCTGGAGAGGGCGCCGGGCTGGAGAGGGCGCCGGGGCTGGAGAGGGCGCCGGGCTGGAGAGGGCGCCGGGCTGGAGAGGGCGCCGGGGCTGGAGAGGGCGCCGGGCTGGAGAGGGCGCCGGGGCTGGAGAGGGCGCCGGGCTGGAGAGGGCGCCGGGCTGGAGAGGGCGCCGGGGCTGGAGAGGGCGCCGGGCTGGAGAGGGCGCCGGGGCTGGAGAGGGCGCCGGGCTGGAGAGGGCGCCGGGGCTGGAGAGGGCGCCGGGGCTGGAGAGGGCGCCGGGCTGGAGAGGGCGCCGGGGCTGGAGAGGGCGCCGGGCTGGAGAGGGCGCCGGGCTGGAGAGGGCGCCGGGGCTGGAGAGGGCGCCCGCGAAGGAACGGGGGCTCACAGGGGGCCTGGGGGCCTGTCACAGCTGGGCTTCTGGGCAGCCTGGGGACAGCACACCCCGCAGGCCCTCCGAGAGAAATCCCAGGACCGGGCTGAGAGGAGACATAAGGGGTTGTGAACCTGCATTTTTGTTGTTGTTGTTTTCAAGATTTTTTAAAAATTGATTTTCAGAGAGGAAGGGAGAGGGAGAGAGAAACATGGATGTGAGAGAGAAACACTGATGGGCTGCCTCCTTCACCACCCCTACCTGGGATCCAGTCCACAACCATGTGCCCTGATGGTGAATGGAACCCGCAACCTTTCGGTGCACAGGACGGCGCCCGGACAACCGAGTCACACCAGCCAGGATGTGAAGGTCAGTGTTTTGTTTTTGTTTTTTTGAACATTTTTTTTCTTTATTGAAGAGAGAGACGTAGGGAGAGGGAGAGAGAGAAACATCGATGAGAGAGAGCATCGACTGGCCGCCTCCTGCACGCCCCGCACTGGGGATCGGGCCCACAACCTGGGCATGTGCCCTGACCAGGAATCGAACTGGTGACCTCTTGGTGCATGGGTCAACACTCAACCACTGAGCCACACCAGCCGGGCATGAAGGCTGTTTTAATAGGAAAAGCAAGAAGAGTCCCTCTGCTCACCCCACCCTCCAGCCTTCCTTGCTTAGAACATAGGGGAAATTCTGGGGAATTTTCTCAGATCCTGATTACGGGACCCAAGGTTTTCAGGAACCCACGCTTCACGTCCTTCCTGGGCAGGGCGGGGGCTGTGTGATCCTCCGGGCTCCCTGGCTGCTCCTCAAGCCTCTGTCTCAGGCCAGGAGCCCAGCCAGTGTCTCCAACATGTGTCCCTACAGAGCTGCTGCCCAAAAGCCCGGCACAGATCCCATCCCTGGGCCAGTCCTCCTCTCAGAATCAGGACACTGCCCGGTGGCAGAGGACCGGTGGAAGAACGAGGGAGAACAGGGAGGCAGAGAGCAGGGCAAACGCTGCCCCACTGGACCGGCCTGGCTGGGCCCGGCACTGAGAATGTCACAGACCCCTTCCCCTCCAAGGGTCCCCGCAGAAGGACTATTGCCCCGCTTCTCCCAACAGCACATGACTTGCGTTCATGGCATGAATGGCCCTGATTTTTCACCCTCCCTGCAGCCATGCCCTTTGCCCGGTGATGAAGGGTGGAGTCTATATTTTGATGTCTTGAACCTACAAACTTTGACTGAAAGGAAGTGGCCGAAGTGACATGTGGCAGTTCCAGAGCTCAGCTGTCCAGGCCTCACACCTTCACTGTAGTGCTCTGACCCTCCTCCCCCGCCATGCGGAGGGCACGCCAGGCTCCCACAGGCCCCAGGAGGCGCCTGGGAGCCACATGGAGCGGACTCAAGTCCCCTCACTGTCTCAGGCAAGGCCGTCGTAGACGAGCCAACGGCTACACACGTGACCAAGTCCAGCCCAAACCGGAGGAGGCGCCCAGTGGAGCCAAACAAGATCAGCAGAGCTGCAAAGCTGGCCAGTCAAGGCATGCCAGTGACACTTACTCCGGTATGCCACTCGGGTCTGGGGTGTTTGTCACGTAGCATTAGCAGATACAGATAGCAGATACACTTAGAGAGAAAACAGGGGACCTGCACACCCAGGCTCAGCTTGTCTCAGCTCTCCTGCCTCTGAACCCTGGTCTAAGCCCTCAGCGTCAGGACACGGTTATTCTCACAACCCCCTCTGCTGTAAACTCATCCCATGTCTCCTGGGCACCGAGAGGGTCACAGAACCTTCCTCCCGGCGTGGAATATACTGGCTCTTACCCTGTTCTCCTACCCAGAACCGCCCACGGGATCAGCTCTTCGTGGGCCCCATACCCTGCAGCCCTCCCACCGGCAGGGTCTCTCCTGCCCTGAATGCATCACGGTGTCTGTCACCCCTCCCCTTGTAGCCCCTTCTGCACCCCACCCAACGTGGTGGTTCAGGCTTCTCCTCCACTTCGACGCACTCCCGAGTCCACATCCCTGGGCCACCGCATCCTTCTCTGGATACCACTTCACGGGACAGTGGCTCATCCACAACGCAGCTCTTCTGGCTTCATCTCAGCTGGATCTTTTGCTAAAATCACAGTGATATTTTTGGCTGAAGGCAATTGATTCAAAATGTGCTATGAAAGCAACTCTGTTATATCCCGGGAAACACCGGCCCTAGCAGCCTCCAAGGAAAAGGTATTGAGGTGAGGGTGTTCGGGAGGTGGTGAGTGCCACTTTCTCCCATGTGGCTTTCCCCCAAACTGCACACACACGGAGACCTATGTAGGAGAGGATGGACTATTGTTGTTGTTACCATTATTCTTCTGGGAGGAAGGATCTTGGTCATCAAAGGGTCCCAAAGATAGGAGGCAGGAGGTTGAAGTACAAGGTGAAAGTGTCTCGTTTACCCATTTGATAGAATTCTTAGTGTGCCCGATGCCGTGCCTTGCACCAGGTCAGGCTCCGCTCAATGAATGCTGCACAGACAGAGTTGAGTCATGACTGGGGCTAAATATAGGCTCTGTGTGTGCTGGATCGTATTTCCCTGCTCTTTGGGGGCCGTGTTCACCTCACCTTTCCCTTATCGAGTCCGGTCATGGGGACCTGCCAGCGAGCCAGCTGTCACCAGCGTCACATGTGTGAATAGCAAAGAGATGACCGATGGCTCAGAAAGAAGGAGGCAGCCCTGCCCCCCCCCCCCCCTCCCAGCACAGCCTTAGAGACACAGCTTGTCTCGGTGACCTTTGCTGGACATGGCCTCTGCAAGGACCAGTAACATCCTCACAAGTGAACGGATGACAAAACGAATGAGTTCTCGCCTTCTTCATCTCCTTTATTCATGTGTACTATAGACATCCCCCCTCTCTTAAAACAAAAATGACAGTGACTCCCCCTCAGCAACACATGTACCTTTTCATCTGCTTATTGTGGAAGCTCCAGATTCACTTCCTTGAGCCGTCAACATTTACCAACAGAGAATGGTCAGCTTCCCGAGAGCCTGCCTACCCCAAGCTGCCCACCCCCCTCCACGGATGCACTGAGGGCCCGACAAGTCTCCTCTGGGAGAAAGTTTTTAGGAACTGTGCAAAGAATTCAGGGTTGCCCACCCAAACTTGCAAAATTATACTGTGGGGACAATCTGCGGCTATAAAAATATACACATACAAAAGGACAGCTACAAAATCGGGGTGCCCATTTTCTTTGATAAGCATTATAAAAAGTAAGGATTTCTCACTAAAGGTCAACTTTAGGGACCAGCATTGTGATTATGACTCTGCGTCCAGTCTCCCCTCATCCTTATTTTCATGGAACAGTCCGAGCACATTGAACCAGCCGGTGTGGAGAGGAAGGGGTCACTCCTAACACTTCATGGGTCAAGGTGAGAAATCCCAGGTTCAAGGTTACACAGTCATTCTGCCGTCAGTAAGTGTCATGAGTCAGGGAAGGAGAGAAGTATTTTAACACTGCCTTTTGGGTCTCCTCTCTCTCTCTCTCTCTCTCTCTCTCTCTCTCTCTCTCTCTCCTTTCTTTGTTTAATGCACTATGAATCACAACACAGTCCTTGACTACAGCAGACGGCTCTGGAACTGGCCTTCACGTGTGATCTCTGGCAGCCACCGCACAGTGGACGAGGTTCAATGCTTCCTACACCGAGGATCCCGCTGGGTTGGGCCCACAGGGTCGGCAGGAAGGGCCACACAGAGACTCCCATCTTGGTTCCAGTTTCTCATCAGGGCGTCCTTCCTCCTTGATGAGAGGAAACACACCTGGGCCCCTGCCTCTGTCACGGCATTCAGCCTCGGGCAGGGTCTCAGGGCCCGGGGTCTCAGGATAGAAGGCTCTGTGCCTTGGGCAAGGCCAGCTGCTGTTACTTGGCTCCACAAGTGTTGATGTTTTTCCCATCCACGGCGTCTTCCACGAGGGAGACGTGGTAGTCGGTGGACAGGGTGAAGTGAGAGATGCAGCCCACGAGGCCTCGCGTGTACTGCCTGTTGGTGTGCAGAGCGATCTCGTTCATGCCACCTGCCAGGAAGCCGGGGAGACGGGCTGAGCCAAAGGGACCAAGTCTCCTCAGGACACGTGAGTGTCTACTGATCATAAGTGAGCACTGTGGGTCCCTCGGACTGCCCAGTATGTTGCATCTACTTTATAATTATCCTTAAAGGAACAGGTTGACTTGATTCAATTTAATACACAGCCTGAGGCTACAAATACATACTCATGTGTGATTTCTGACCCAGTTGGCCACTTCAAACTGTATCTGGTAAATTTTGAAATATTGTATAATTTCAATAAAATGTAGTCTACAGTTAGAGGTGATGTCATCTCAAAAAGGAAAGAAACACACCAATGTGGAGTGCGTTCAATTAAGCTCATGTTTAGAAAATATATGGATAGAGACATCCTGTCCTGTTTGTGTGTGCGTGCTAGCGGCTCGGAGCTAGTCACCGAAATCACACTCGTTCTGATTCCGAGAGGGGCCAGAAAACAGACCCTCCTCTTTGAAGGGAATTGTCGGAGCTATGTTTACGAGGTCCCTGCTCTATAAACAAGAAAAACATGGTTTTCCTGGCGGCTCAGTCCCAAGCGCAAAAGCATCTAAGTGCTTCCTGCCACCTCAGCCATGAGTCAAGTTCAGAAAACGGGAGAACGGACTCGTGGGGAGCTTCCTACCTCAAGTGTCTGGCTGATCCAGGGAAGCGCCCCACTCTGGGGAGCCCCAGCACAGCAAGTGGAGGAATAACAAGAAAAGGCACCGGCACGATTTAGGTTTGGTCCAAGATCACTTACCCACATATAGGGGTCCGTTGAAGTTGAGCTGCCGCATCAGGCCCGGCGACTTGCCTGTCCTGGCCCCGTAGTCATCCACAGTCATCTTCCCCGACTGGCCGTCCCTGTAAAAACCACCGCCACTTTGCGAGCTTCTTTCAGCCATTCGATTCATTACAACAAAAATGGATTAAAGGACCTACCACGCACCAGGTATCATGCTAAACGACAGAGCTGCGAAAATGGGACACAAGACAAAACAAACAAACAAAACCACAGTCCTGGCCCCCAGGAGTTTCAGGTCTACCGAGGAATACACATCATTCCAATTATAAATGATAACCCGGTGTCACCGCTCTATGGTGGAAGACTGCCAGGACACTGTGGATGACAGGAGGTGGAGGGAGGGTCAGGGAAAGTTCCCCAAGCAGATTCTGTCTGGATGGGTTTTGAAGGCTGGGTAGGTAAGCGAAGCAGGAAGCTAATGCCAACGGAAAGCACCGTGGAAAGAGAGAGAAGACGAGGGGTTGGTGCAGACAGCACAGGGAACCAGAGAAGAGCTTTAAGGGGAGCAGTTCTGGTGACACGTGATGAGACTGGATGTTATTCTAAGCACGATGGGAAACCAACGAAGCAGTTTTTGTAGGTGGAGGATTACTCTAAGGCAGGACAAAGAACAGCTTAGAAGTTCCTAAATGACCCAAAGAGTCACCCCAAAGTGATGCCCAGGGCAGTGGAGTGGAGTACACGTCTGTGCAAGGGCTCTCTTGCAGGTTTTCAAAACCATCAAGCCCCGTGAACCTTCCTAAAAACTATGTCTGGGTCTACGGACCCAGGCTCACTTCTTTTGCTTCTTTAAGAGTTCTTTACTGGCCTTTAAATGTTCCTTTTCTGTAGCAAACAGTTCTTGTTTCTTGGGTTAACCTCTCATCTTTCTGATCATATTACTATTTCTGTCACTTTTTTCACTCATAGTCTCTGTTTCCTCCAAGTGGTTTCATTGTGTCTGTTTGTCCTGATACTCATCTTGTATACAGGAAACATTTTGCAAATGCCCTGAGATCGCTGCCTGCCCCTTCACGGTTCAGGGCTGAGCTCTGAGGAGCAGATGGGGAGCTCTGTGAGCAGGATGGTTTTGCCGACTGTGGCTTTGTAGTACTGTGATCTGGCTCGATCGTTTCCTGGGGGACACCTGCATTTTCTACTCTCCTTATTGTGTCTGGCTGCCGGCGTGCTGGCATCCCAGTCACGGGGAAGAATTAGGGAGTTCTCAATATTCAACATGTGACCTGTCACCAGGTCCTCAGTCCTAATGTGTGCAACATAGGGTAGTCCAGGATTTATTTAGACCTGTTGTCTGCCATTCCAGAGACTTAGTTTACTTTGTCCAGGGAACTGACTTTGGTATTTTTCCACAGGTAGCGAAAGGGCAGGGTGCCAGCAACATGAAGCAGAGAAGGGGCGTGGGCTCTACCGCTCCAGTTTATTCAAGGAAAATTCTGAAACCCACCTTCCTGCTCTTAGCCCCTCATCCACCTTCCAGAGTTTCCTGCTCCACCCCTGCTGGGGATGGGGTTACAACGACATCATCTGATTGCCTCACTTGGTGACAGCAGCTCTTAGCAACTAGCTGTAGAGGTATTTCTCCTTTTCTGTCCTCACCCTCGAGACCCCTCGCTGCCTCCCCATTTTGGAGATTCTAGCCTGGAATCTGAAAGCGGGAGCTCGGATGGGCAGTGCTTCTGGTACCTCGCTTTGCCTGCCCTCCCCTCCTTACTCTAAGAAAGTCAGTGTTTTTCCACTTTATCTCATCAACTATAAGAAGTTTTCATTTTCTATATCTCTAAAATGAGGATATGTCTTATAATCAATGGCATCTCAAATTTTTAAATAAACGTGGTACCACTTTCTAACCTAGTGAGTAATGAACTTCGTTACGTTTATTACTAAGTCTCTATTGCCTCCCATTAGACTGCAAGACCACCAAGGCAAGGATGCTTGTATTTTTCAGTGGTGTATCGGTGTGTCTGATATAGTATAGGGCTCACAGTGGTGTAAGAATGAACAAGCAAACCTGTGGAATTTCAACTCCTCATCTGAAACGGAAATAACTGTGCCCATCCGCCAAGGCTGTTCTGGAGGTCAGCAACATGCATGCAAAGCACAGAGCATGGCACCTGATGCATACCTGCTCTATCAGGGGTGGTGCAGGAGTGTGTAGTTACTATTATCAATACATCAGTACTCTCATCCATAACATGAAGGTCATAAAACTTAAGTTGCTATGACTATAAACTAAGATATAGTATGTAAAGGACCTGGCATCCTGCAGATGCTTAATAAATGAGGATTTGCGTTCTCTTTTCTGCTAGGATTAATGCCTCCGAGTCCAGCATTGCTCAGAGCCGGACAGTGCAAAGCAAGGCTCCCTTGGAGACAGCTGCATTGATTCCCTGTCTTCGGCCCTGGAGCTGCTGCAGAGAACTAAGGTACCCAGTCAAGCCTGCCTGCCACACTTGGTGTCCTTAGCCGTGACGCAGCTCCTGCCTAGATCTGTTGAACCACCCCTTCCAGGCCTGTCTGCCCCTCTGCAATGCAACTCACATCTGCTTGAATCCTCCCATCTAACCAGTTCCTGGTCTCATTTCCTTCTGTTCAACCCTCGCTGCCGTCCAAGGCCCACCGGGGGGATAATCAATGATCACAATAGTAAGAACCAAATCTGAAAACCATCTTCACGGTGTCAAGCTTGAGGCTCTGACATCTGAGTTTAAACTTTCTCTTTCTTATCCCCCCAAGACATCTGAGATCCTAGCCAGGGTGGGCTGCACCATGGAGTGGGATGCTAAGAGCTTTGACCTAAGATCCCAGTCTTGGCTCTGCCCCCGAACAGTTGTATAGTCTTGGGAAAGTCACTTAACATCTGTTTCCTTGGGTGTCTAGGAAGCGCCTGGAATCCCCCCCGGTGTGTATCAGGATGCGCACAATCCAACCACAATTTTGAGGGTTTCAAAGTCTTTCCACAATGTCTGAGTGTCCTATCAACCTCTGTATTTAAGGAAGTGTGGAGCAGTCATGCTCGCGGGACGGGAGTTACAGAGGTCAAGTGCGGCCCCTCATTTCATTTCTTCGGCTGTTTCTGAGCGAGCCCCTTTTGAGACGAGGAAGAGCGACAAACGAAGAACTCAGAAGCCACATAGTTTAATGTCTGGCAGTTGGTTTGGACCAAGAGCATTTTAGTTTATATTCTAGAATATATTTTAGATCAAGCCTATAAATATTCACTTTGGAAAGACATTTCTTTCTCTAACAAGTTGGAGTTGGGGTTTCATCAAAATCACTGTCGCAAGGTCTTCCTAGGCCAGCTGGTGGCACCATCTGCCTCTGCACCCTCACACGTCCTGGGGTGTCCGAGGCAGGCCCAAGCGGAGAGACAGTGGGGTTCAGCACGGCCACTCCCGCCATGTGTGCGGGGCAGGAAGTTGACCTTGGCAGCCCCATGTTTCTCAAGCCTCACCTTTGACTTCACCCACTGACCTCCCCAGAAAGGGGTGTGGTAAATTCCCAGGGAACCCCAATCAAAAGCTCTGTGCAGCTCATCTCCCGGAACCTTCATCTGACATAGCAGGATTGAGATTTCCTCACACAACTAAGTTTGGGCCCGCTATTTGGTTTTTCCAAATATATTGTTAGGAATATGGACATGGGCAGCAAAACTCTAATTTTAGGGGAGCGATTCACCCAAAGTTCATCAGAAGTCAGGGTGGCGACTTCTGTGAAAGGGGCAGGATACACAGAGCTTTTAAAGTTCAGGTAAAGGGACGTCAAAGAAAAAGTGGGCAATTACCTACTTAATGAGACCTGAAGCAGTCTTCAACGTTCACGTGTCCTGAAAGCTTGTCTCACCAGAGAGATCCGGATCTCACTAAATAGCGAGGCCCCTTCCACTTAGCCATCAAAAAGTGATTTCTCCATGAGTGAAGGCTTGGGAGTTCAGTGTCATTGAAGGGCACGGGTGGGAGTTGGTAGCAAAATGCCCTCAATGACCTGGATCCGGAGTATGGGATGCTAGGCAAGGTTGGGCAGGAGAACAGTGGGACAAAAGGGACTTGGAAGGCACATCCCACTTGTGCTGGGCTCCAGCTCTGTCCCATGCTGTGGACCGTACTCACCGAACAGCCTTGACCCGGTGCCACCGACCATCATTGAAGGAGCCGTTCACCGTGATGGATGCCACACCACTGCCCAGGTTATAGCTAATGGCATTGGGGAAGAACAAGACAGAGCAGAATAAAGCGCTGAAGCATGGCAGACACAAACAAGTCTCATTGCAAAAGGACTATGGAACTCAGAATGTAGTTTCCTTAACACAAAACAAAACAATGTTACAAGTTAGGTTTCTAAGCAAGGCCAGGAATGATCAAAAGATGCTTTTAATTGTGGCAAAATATATATAGTATAAAATCTTAGCCATTTTTAAAAAGATCTTTTAATTGATTTTTTGAGAGAGAGAGAGAGAAACATCAATCGGCTGCTTCCTGCACGCCCCACACTGAGGATCCAGCCTGCAACCCTGGCATGTGCCCTGACCAGGAATTGGAAAGGTGACCTCCTGGTGCCTGGGACCATACTCAACCAACTGAGCCACATTGGCCAAGAGCTACTGCCGTAACTATTTTTATGTGTACAGTTCAGTAGTGTTAAATATACTCACATAGTTGTACAAGCATTCTCCAGAAATTTTTACTTTGCAGACCTAAAACTTTATACCCCTTACACAGTAACTCTTCATTCCTCTTCCTTCAGACCCTGGCAACCACCACTCCACTTTTTACCTTAGGAATTTGACCACTCCTAGGTACCTATATAAGTAGGACCATAGTATTTGTCTCTTTGTGACTGGCTTATTTCACTTAGCATAATGTCCTCAAGGCTGAGTATGTTTAATTTACAGAAACATCAGTATAGCATCAGGAACAAAAAGGGGTTTATCATTTGTAATGTGTTATAGTTGGTGGAATAGTGTCTCCCCAAAATTTGTGTGCACCCAGAACCTCAGAATGTGACCTTAATTGGAAGTCTTTGCACATATAATTAGTTAAAACGAAGTCATATTGGATCAGGGCAGCCCTAAATCCTACATTACTGGCGTCCTCATAAGAAAAAGAAATGTGGACAGTCACAGGGAAGAATGTCATACAGAGATGAAGGCAGAGATTGGAGTGACGTAGCTACAAGCCTAGGCATGCCAAGGGCTGCCGGCGACCACCAGACCCCAGCAGAGAGGCACAGAACACATTCTGCCCCAGAGCCCCAGAGGAACCGACTTTGCCAACGCCTGCATGTCAGACTTGGACCCCCGCCCCCCAACTGCAGAGAATCAGTTTCCACTGTGTTAAGCCACCTGATGTGTGGTGATTTGTTACGGCAGCTCTTGGAAACCCATATACGTGTTTTCACTTTCAAATATTATGCTGAGCGAAATGAGCCTGTCAGAGAAAGACAGGTATCACATGATCTCACTTATTTGTGGAATATAATGAACAAAATAAGCTGATGAACAAAACCGACCCAGAGACACAGAAGTAGGGCTCAGACCGACAGACCTCAGAGGAGGGAAGAGAGAAACCAAAGAATTTAGGCATATAAGCATAACCAATGGACACAGACAGCAATGCCGGGGAGGGGGCGGGAATGGGAACGGGAGGAGGGGGGTCAATGGGGGAAAAAGGAGAAATATTTGTAACAAAAATAAGTTAATAAAAATTTTTAAAAAAGCAAAAACAAGTGTTTTCAGCCGCCATCACTCTCTAACGCCTGCTCCCACGAGCTCCAGCCCAAGGAGAAGAGGGCGGAGAAGGGGGTGAGTAGAGAGCTAGAGGTCTCTATCCGGGGGTGGGGTCCTACAAAGCTAACTGCCTCACATTCAGTGGTAAAGCACAAAGAAACTGGCTACCAAGGCGGCTCGCAAGAGTGCGCCCTCTCCTGGAGAGGCGAGGGAGCCTCATCGTCACAGGCCTGGTGCCGTGGCACTTCGTGAATTAGACGGTGTCACAAGTCCACTGAACTTCTGATTTGCAAACTTCCCTTCCAGCGTCTGACGCGAGGAATCGCTCAGGACCTCAAAACAGACCTGCGCTTCCAGGGCGCAGCTATCAGTGCTTTGCAGGAGGCGAGTGAGGCCCATCTGCTTGGCCTTTTTGAAGACACCGGCCTGTGTGCTATCCATGCCAAACGGGTAACAAACGCGCCAAACGACACCCAGCCAGCACGCCGCATACGTGGAGACGTGCTGAAGAATCCACTAGCACGAGAAACAGTTCATTCTTTAAAAAAAAAATCTTTCTGTTACTGGTAGCTTTGTATGTTAGATATTCTTCCCCCCATGGGGTCAAAAGGTACCTAAGTATATCACTGAAAATTGAAAATAGGGGTCAGAAATCAGGTGTTGGCAGTTTTTCCATTTTCATTTGTGTGGGAATTTTTAAAATATCAATGCGGGGACATAAAGTATGAATGCCAAAGTGTTTTGGGGAGCACGTTTCAGCAGGCCAACTTTATAACTATAAATAAACCTGTCAAACTTTTCTGGGGAAAAAAAGCAAAAACAAGCCCTGGCCGGTTTGGCTCAGCGGTTAGAGCGTCGGCCTGCGGTCCGGAGAGACCCGGGTTCGGTTCCCGCTAAGGGCATGTACCTCGGTTGCAGTTTGTCCCTGGCCCTGGTCGGTCGTGTGGGTGGCAGCCACTCGATGTGTCCCTTTCACATCGATGTTTCTCTCTCTCTCTCTCTGTCCCTCTCTCTCCCTCCCACTCTACCTGAACAAAAAAATGGGAAAATGTCCTCGGGTGAGGATAAAAAAAAAAGCAAAAACAAAAGAGAACATGGCAGAGTAGGCTGAGCCCCAAACAGATGAAAGGAATTTGCCTAAAATCCCAAAGCTAATGTGTAGGATTTGAACTTAAGGTCTTATCTGCCCCCCCCCCCCCATTTTACCCTGAAATCTGGTCCACTCAGTCGCTTTCTATTTTCTGTTTCGGTTTCCAGAAGCCCCACACCCCAAGGGTATCCGAAGGCATGCACATGTTGTTTACCAGAGAGAAACATTTCTCTTAGCCCAGTGTTCATTCAGTTATTCTAATTTGATCCAATTCAACAAATATTTAGTGAGTGACCACTCCAGGCGGGCACAGGGCCCAGTGCCTAGACCTCCCCTGACATGTAACAAAGCCTCTGGAATCATGTGCTCTGCCCAGGACCGCGCCCCTCCCCTGGCGCGGGGACACCGCTCTGCTCTACCTCCTGGCCAAGCACCAGGAAGGAGAAAACCTGGCTTCATTCCGGAGTTGCTGCAGGCACTCAGCCCGAGAAAAGAGCGAGGACAGAAAGCCCGGCTTTCCCCAGGGAAAGCTCTCTGGTCCTTTCTCCACTGACAGAGGCTCAGAGAAGTCACACACCCCATCGGCATTTAACCGAGAATAGAACTCGGGTGACTCGGCAAACCATGAGACCAGGATGTGGCTCTGACCCTGAACGGTCCACTGTTTCTGATGAATTTTCCCACATCAAGAGTCTCCCTGCATGAAGCAGCCGGGGGGGGGGGGGGCTTTTCAGGTTTCATTCTTTAGTGGCCAAAGGCTCGTTGAGGAAATGCATGATGAAGCAGGGCCCGGAGCTGGCTGGCAGACGGGGCTCCGAATGACCGTGTGTGGCTTTGATGAGAGGCAGCAGGAATGCAGGGATAAGACCAACCCGCCTAGATGCACACTCTTGCCAATTACGAGCTGGGCGACCTTGGCAATTTGCTTCATCTCTCGGAGCCTCAGGTTCCTTATCTGTGAAATTGGGGTAATTGTACCATCCCTGCAGGAATGTAGGGAATATTGAGTATGATAACTCACGTAAAGAGAGCAGCATATAGCAGATACCAAACAAATAACCCACCACCCCGCGGACGTGCTGTCCTTAATGCAGCTCCTGCATAGGGCAGACGACAGGGCCGCGGGACCTAGCAGGGAGCAGAGGGTGGCTGCCCGGAGTGAAACGCGCCAGGCCTCTCCTGGAAGAGTAGTCACGGGTGAGCGTAAACCAACAGGCTGTAAATATGTAACCGAGAGGTCAGGAACACCCAGATCTCAGAACAGAGGTGACCCGGGAAAACCGCCGGACGCCAGACTGGAACACGATTGGAATCCAGGGAACGGAAACCTTTTCGGCTGTGTTTGGACTTACGAGGGGCTTTCCTCCCCTGTGCTCCAGCCTGATCGCTTTCCTGTTTATGCAAAGAGCCAGCACGTGCTCCGGAGGCAGCCTGAATCCAGCAGACAGGAGTCCAGAGGCAGCACGACACAGGCCACGGCGCCGGGCGGGACTCCATGGCCCGAGCCTCCCCCCACCCCCGACTCCGTCTGCTTCAGACCCTGAGATCCCCTCCTGCTTCCCCAGACACCCTGGAATCTCTCTCTCTTCTGTACCCTAAGGAATGACCGGAGACAGCGGCTGTCTCTGTTGGCAGAAGGAGCCTTCTTGGGTGTGGAAAATGTTCGGTCTCGTGTTCTGTGCGGTGGGTCCCCAGGTGTTTACACATTTGAAAATCTATCAAACCGCACACCTAACATCTGTGCACTTCATGTAAATTATGACTCAATTTTTAAAAAACGGAGAACATGGCAATGAACGAATGAATGGATGCACGTCTGGTTTTGCTCTCAATGCCTTTGGATGTGGTGAGCATGGATCGGCTATCCAGACGCGAGCTCTCCTGCTCACGGTGGTGTGCGGGGGAGGCTGTGACGGGGCCCCAGGGTGTGCCGCTGGGAAATGACATCCAGTGAGGACTTTGGGGGACCATTCAGCTGCTTCCGCATGGTGGCACTTCTACTCAGCCGGGCCCCCTTCAAACTGCAGAGCAGGGCACCTTGTCAAGGTCAGATCTCTTCCCTCTCTCTGTTGCATGAAAATGGTATCAAGGTCACATGGAAAAGCAGCAGGAAAGATTGACAGGCAAGGGATTCGCACAGGACTGCTCCCTGGTTCAGGACCCACGTGCTAATCACAAAACAAAGGAAACGAAACGGAAAACCACTCCGCCGAGCGCTTGGATTGCCCCTCCCCACTTCATCCTGCACAGAAGCCACAGTGATTTCTCCAGGGCTCCGTCGCTCTTCCTTCCTCCCAGCCAGGGGAGCGTGGAGCCCTAGATTAGCAAAAGGACCAGCGTTTAGGTGAAGGAAAAAGGTCAAGAAAGTTGAAAATATATTTCATTATCTTAGGTCTTCGGTTGTTTACTTTGGACCTGGGTCAAACACCAAAACCTCAAAAATGATTTTTCTACCCAACAGACCAGTCCACTCTCTAGGCCCCATGATGTGAGCCGCGTGAAGGCGGGGCCTATGTCTTATTAAAAACACTAACAAGAATAGCTACATTTTAGGAAGCAGTTACATTGTGCTAACTTCCTTACCCATGTAAGGGTTTTTCGAACATAGAAAACACATGATGCAGGGAAATCATTTGGATAAACATCATCACTAATAAGTAGAAGTGCCAGGCCCTGCATGAAGCACTTTACATGAATGAACTCTACCAGCCGTCCCACCAACCGTTTCCTCTTCGCGGGGAGGCCTGGTCGCTGGCAGGTCACGTGGCCATGGGAACCGAGCCTGTCTGACTCGGGAGCTCATGCCTTTGACCACTTCAGCCCATTTCCCAGGCCCTGGTCCCCGATTGTTTCCCATCAGACTCCAGCGCCCAAGGAGACCTGCTCCGTCAGTCTGGGTCGAGCCAAGGACTCCAGTACCTCTCAGCCAGCTCCCTGGCTGGCTCTTCCGAGCCACTGGCCTGCGCTCTGGCCCTCTCTGTGCCCAGCCTCCAGCAGGGCATCCAGACATCTGTGTCTCATGAAGGGAAGTACTTGCTGGGAGGCAGGAAACAGCGGAGCAGCTGCTGCGGCCCCGGCCCAGGGCCAGGCGCAGGAGGGGCCAGGCCGTGTGTCCTTGCCACCCGAGCTCCAGGCTTCAAAGCAAACCATGGGGCCAGTTTTCAGAAACGCGAGAAAGACCAGGTAACTAGGACATAGCGCTGGATGGAGCAGTGTTGGAAGGGTGGCCAGGGGCTGTGGGGAGAGGGGTGTGGGGGGCTGACCAGGGCCAGTGGGAGGCTGAGGGGCTGCAAGGCGCCCTGAGCAGATTGAGTTTCCCTGCTCTGCTGGGGTGGGTGGTGAGCAGATCGTAGCTGGTGGTTTCGGGGGATGTTGGCCCCCCACCCATGGCTGAGCTGCAGCTTCAGTTCCTTTTTCTGGGCACAATCAAGAACTTGAGGCCTTGGTGAGGTTAACCACAGGAAAACCACAAGGAAATGGCTTTGCAGCAGCCAGCCTGAAGCCGGGGTGTGAAAAGCCTGGCGTTTGACCTTGGGGCCAGGGGAGAAAAGGGGCGGAGACGCTGAGAACTGCTCTCATCGGCCAACCCGAGCCTCCAACCACCACATCCCTCTAAAGTCCCCGACAGTCACAGAATCTCATCACTCAGCCCGCGCTGCTGAGCAGGGGTGAGCGTGACGTTGGATGAATGACATTTCCTCTCCAAAAGCTTTTCGTTCAGATTGAAAAGACTCCATGATCTTACTCTGGCTGTGAGGAATCCCAGTGCCTGACCCACAGAAGCCCAGAGTCCGTCTTCATCCTCTCTGTAGTTCAGTTACCTTGCCTTTGTCTCGTTCGATTCAAATGAACTCCGTATCACTCCATGAACCTGTGCTGGACCCCGAGCGGGGAACAAACAAGCCAGAGGAACCCCTGCCTGCACGGAGCAGGTGGCCTGGCGACCGCGGGGGGATTTCGAACCTCAGCCAGCATCAGACTCCCCTGGAGGAATGGTGAGGTCAGGGGTGGGGCCTGGGAGTGTGCATTTCTAAGAAGTGCCCAGGTGACGATGATGCTGCAGGTCCAAGGACCACACCTTGAGAATCAATGGTCTGGACGAGTTATTTCCAACCTCAAGTGAGGAGGTACCACCTCTGGAGAAGCGTTTTCCTGTTATACAACGGTCCTGCGGCAGAGGCAGGGTGGAGAGGGACAGGAGCTGAGAGGGAAGGAGAGGTCCTCTGGGGGGACATGGCCCCAGCCCTGAATTGGGTCACAGGCTCTGTGCTCTTATCAATCTTTGGGAATAGACCGGTTCAGAACTCCAGTCTCCTATAGTGCCGTGCGTTTGATCTGTGGGAAGCCAGCATCCTCCCACGCTGGCGGGGAGAAGTTGTCAGGTGGTCCCTTAGCGACTTCACAACCAGCCGCGTAGAAACTTGGAGAGCAATCCAAAGTCCCTGAAAGCAGCTCAGAACTCCAGGGACTTCCTTATCCGGAGTCACCCAAGATGCATTTACAAACCCCCGAATGTCGGTGGATCTACTGAGATCTAAATCGGGGCTTTGTTCTTCATAGTGGGGGATGGGAAAGCAGCCCTTGCTCCCGAGGCTGCGCGGCCACCGGGAGCGTGGCCGGCGCTGGACGCCAGGTCTCCGACTCGAGCGCGCAGCTCTGCCTGAGCCGAGCACCCAGGCCCACGCTCAGCTGGGCCACGTCCTCTTCTACTTCCTGACCGCAAGGGGGCGCATGGCAGAGACATAGGACCACAGGGGCAGAGAGGGCCTTGCCCTACAGTCCCTACTGACACTACTCAATGTGCACTGTAATGTGACAATACTAGACAGTATTGTCATAGACAATATATACAGGGACGAGTATGGCAGTGATCTAATAAGACGTCACTGACAAAGCGGGTGGGGGCCTGGTCGGCTGCTCCGGAAGATGGATGCTGGGAAGGAAGACCAGGGGCCTCGGATAAGCCTGGAAATCGGGCAACAGTCATGCCAGGGGACTGCGGTCTGGTTCACGTTTGCCTCGCTGTTGGCATGGCCTCCCAGGTGAGGCCAAAGGCCGCTGGCAGGGGCTTACCTGAACACCAGGGCTCCCTCTCGAAGGCCCAGGGAAATGAAGTCACTGTTGGACATGGAGCTGTCCCCCCTCCACAGCAGCAGGCCGTCCTTGGCACTGGTCTTAAACCGCATGAACACGTTGGATCTTGATCCTGACACCCTGCAGGAAATACACAAACATTGCACCCTGTTAACCACTGTCCACCGACGTCCATTCTGAGTTTTGTCCGCCAGCCTTGAGAAGCCAGGTCTGAGGATGACCTGGCATTGCTGACACTTACTACCAGGAGGTGACAGTGAGCACGGCCACCCCGAGGTACACACCGGGGTCAGAAAGTCTGGCCAGCTCTGTGGCGGCGTCTCGGTCCCAGGTGCGGGGCCGCCAGGAGACAGCGCTCGATGAGCCACAGATCAACCAGACTCTGGTCAAGGCCATGGTACCAGGCTGCGCCCCATGGGACACTCCTTTCCTGTCCTGCCACTGAAGGGTCCTTGGGAGAGCGTTCTCAAGTGAGAGTCTTAATTTCCAAGAGGGTCAAGCAGCAGCTTCTTTGGGCTGTGATCATGGCTGCGAGGGCCGGCTCTGGTGGTGACTGTCCTTGAGGGCAGAGCAGTGACCGGACAGGAGGCAGAGTGTCAGACAAGAAAGGTGGCTTGACAGGACAACGGTCCTGAGAGGTGTTGCGGCAAAGGCAGGGTGGAGAGGAACAGGAGCTGAGAGGGAGGGAGAGGCCCTCCGGCAGGTCCGGGCCCCGGCCCTGAATTGGGTCACAGGCTCTGTGCTCTTATCAGTCTTTGGGAATAGACCCAGTTCAGAACCCCAGCGTCCCATCTGTCACAGGGAGCACAGTAAGAATGACATTCTTAAATAAAAGGTATTAAGAGTAAACATAATTTAAGTGTTTTGTTTTTTCTTTTACTTCCACTGGATATGGCTTTGACTCATGTGCTGCATGAGTGTCTGATGGGCAGCTGTGTTGGAACCATGAAGGGAGTCACCTCCGGGGGACGTGCTGAGGACAAGGCAAAAGGACAGAGGAGACTTGCGTCTTCGATCATACCGGTGATTCTCTGAATTAATCACGCCAGGATCCAGTCTAAGTCTGGACTGCTTGTTAAACAAAATAAATAATTTTGCATTTAAGCCATTTTGAGCTGAGTTTTCTGTTACCTGCAGCCAAAGGCATCTAACTGAAATAGACCCTGAACTTGACTTTCTTTTTTTTTTTTAATCCTCACCCGAGGACATTTTGTCATTTTTTTTGTACAGATAGAGTGGGAGGGAGAGAGAGGAAGGGAGAGATAGAGAGAAACATCGATGTGAAAGGGACACATCGAGTGGCTGCCACCGCACGACCAACCAGGGCCGGGGACAAACTGCAACCGAAGTACGTGCCCCTAGCGGCAACCGAACCCGGGTCTCTCCGGACCGCAGGCCGATGCTCTAACCGCTGAGCCAAACCGGCCAGGGCCTGAACTTGACTTTCACCTGCAACTTCACACGCATGCGCATACATACATGCACACACGGGCCACCCGAGCGGCTCTGGTTCGGGGCGCGTAGCCCTACTGCCACCAATCCACCCAGTGCCCTTCACTAAGCATCAAGGGGTGAAGACTTGGGCCCCTTTCGCACTGTCCCACTTTCTGGGGACTGAATGCCCTTCCGTATTTGGGGAAAGGGCTGAAGGAAGGAGAAGGTCTCTCTTGGCTGGAAATCCATCTTGCCGCAGGCCCGAGCCCAGACCGCCTGGATGAATACAGGGGTCAGAGAAACGACACGCCGGTCCGTCCCGTGTGCGTTAAGTTACCAGGGACGTGCTCATCCTGTGCCCCAGGAAAATGTCTCTCAACCACTTTTGTTCCTTGAAAAGCCACCGACCTCCACCCTCCGACTGGGTGCTTTTCGTTTAAAGCTTTGCCTTAGTCTGTTAAGAAACAGTCAACCTGAAGAGGAAGGAAAATTCTAGAATGATGGTGTTGGCAGTGCTGTGGGGGGTGGCAGACCATAAACTACAAAGAACGAGGGGAGGAAAAGAAGAGGAGGAGGCAACATGATACCAGAGACAAGCTTCCCCAGCTTGGGGACTTGCCGAAGGCTGGCATTCCCATGGTCACGTACAAAGGTTCTTCCAAGCCAGGGGCTTGGACTCCAGGCAGGGGCTGCAGCCTCAGCCGCCAGGGACGCACGGCCAGAGTGGCGACTTGGGCACTTCCCTGTGCCTCCCTGGTGTCCACATGAGGAGAGCTGAGGAGCCCTCACTGGCTGGCGGGAGCACAGGCGCCCTTTGCTGCAGAGACGCAAAGGAGGAGGGCCCTTGGCGGTCTGTGGAGCTGCGGGGGCACCAGACCCTCCGCGCAGACCCGAGGCAGAGCTGCAGGCCTGGCCCAGACAGCAGGGAGCTGACTGCCCCGCCTGGGGAATCACTCCGACCTCGGCTTCGGGAGCCCTGAGGACGGGAAAATCCGGGCTCCGCACGTCCTCCCTCCTTGGACAGAGTGTGGGTTGTTTAAAGGCTGCCTTTTTCAAGTTTAATTTGTTTTTTTTTGCTTTGTTTTGTTCTAGTTTCTATGTTTATGATGTGTGGTTGTTTTCCCCGGAGGCCATGGCTAAACAGCCTTCTTTGAGACTTATCTTCTGGCTCATAAAAAGAAGGAAAAGCCTTGGGAAGGACATTGAGAAATCCACCCCCAGAGGGAGACGGAAGGTGCCCGCTGAAACTCGTACCTCTTGAGGACGTCTGGACTGTCATAGGTCAGGTAGCTGCGGCCGATGAACTGCGGCATCTCGATGGCTTCTGTGATGGCTGAGGCAGAGAGAACATGGACGTTACATCGGTGGCTGTCCGACCCCAGCACTCAGCCACGGGCAGGAAAAGACAGACAAGGCTCCTGAAATCGGGACATTGGACGACTTGTCGGCTCCTTCCTCTTGGCCAGATTTGGAGCTGCCTGGCCTGATGGCCCGGAGCTGGTGCCTCCCCGATGTCACCTACCTGGGGCTGGCCGTCACTGTGAATGCCCTTGTCACTACTGAGAAGGGCTTGCAACATGCTGGAGCTTGAACTGGGCCCAGCTATTCCTGTAAGCCTACGAGCGGGGCATGGGTCATGTGGGGAGCAGCTGCAGCCCTCGATGTTCTCCAAGGGAGGCAGAGGACATAACCGCCCGACAAACCCACCAGAATCTCTGTGTCTAAAGCCAGTGTGCCCAGAACCCTTTCCACCTTGACCACGACAGCCTGGCCAGTGGAGAACAGGGGTGGGGACCTGTGTTTACAATGTCATGTTCCACACCATCTTCACCACGATCTCAGGAAGGAGTGGGGAGTGTGGAGAAGGGGAGCTTGGTTATTCCCATTTTATCGAAGGGAAAACGAGGCACAGACATCCTCAAGGATCTGCCTGAGACTGTACAGCTAAGAGAACAATAGAGCGCGCACCAGACTGACTCCCCTCCTTTCTGGTCCTCGGCCCACTTTCTTCTTCCCAGGACTTCAGACGTGTGCTCGCTTCTCTCAATCTGCCCTCACTTGTTTCCCTGAGGAATCTCCCTTTTCCACACAGTGAGCACAAGAATAGGGTGTATCATTGTGTTGGTGTCAAAAACGGGATAATTTGGGAGACGTTGGCCAAAGAGATAGCAGCCATTTCTCCTCTTTAGACAAACGGAGACATGGCAGCGTAAAGAATGAAGGTCGAATGAATCTCACGTAAGAAACGTGCAAAACAAGAGGGAATAAGCCAGCTTCTAAAAGAAGTTAGCGTGTCACACAAATATGTGGTTGGTGCAGAAAGGACACTGAACTAAGGATTCTACGTCCAGGAGAGAACATACGTAATTATTGGACACTACCAACAACCAGGAGACTGTAAATGGAACCTCTAAACATTTTTTTTTTAAAAAAGAGGGTGATAATAGCAAACTCCAAAGCCCAATGACATAGGGCCCCTGAGTATAAGCTCCTGTGTTGAAGGTCACCTATGGCATGTTCCCAAAACTCTTTTCATAAAAAGTAAAGATTTTTAAAAGGAAAGAAGACAAGAAGCGCAAAGGAAGAGAAATAAAAGCAATTTCGGAGAAGCTGCTTTCTTGCTCTCTGAAGCAACACGGCCCTGGACAGGCCTGCGGGCCCAGAGGGCCTGTTAGGGACAAAGACAGAGTGAAGTCTCCTGTGCTGAGTGTGAAATGCTGGGCACCCGTTCTGGTTGAAGAGGGGAGGAGGAGGGGAAGGGAGGAGAAAAGAGTGGGGTGCAAAACAGAAAGACAGTGGGGAGGGGGGTAGAGGGACGAGCTAGAGTGAGGAAGGAGAAGATGCCGAGGGAGAAGAGGAGGAGAAGGCTGGGGGAGATAGGGTGCCGGGAGGACAGCAGCACCCTGCGAGGAGGGGGGGGATGGACAGGCAAGGTGCAGAGAGAACGGACCCAGAGGCGTGGAGAGGACACAGGAGGGCAGGTGTGGAGGGCCAGGGGAGATGCAGGAGGTACCGGGGGGCTCTTAGCTGGGGTGGGGCGAGCCCTGAATTTCGGGGTACTGGTGCTGCGGTGGAGGAGAGGAGAGCAGGCGGGTGGCGGAGCCCTTCCCGGAGCTACAGGAACCTGCCAGCCCCGCTGGGTTTGGTTCACCCCAGGGGGGGGGAGGCATAGCTGGGCCTGGCCCTGCTGCTGTCGGCCAGGGACGCGGGCTGTGGTCAACAGCTATGGCTCCCCGGGACTCCCTGAAGTGGTCAGGACGTGCCTGTCACACGTTGGCTCTGCACACGGAGCCCCAAAGGGGTCTGTGTGAGTCCTGTCCAGCTGCCTGCTAAGCCCCCAGCCCGGGAGCTCAGCGCTTCCCAAGGGCCAGCTGGGACTCAAGTGCATTCTCAGGGCTGGCTCTTTTGGAGAGGATTCCCCCCACCCCGGGAGGTGTGTCCAAGCCCGGAGCTGCTCTCTCGGTTGCCCTCTGTGTGTGGTTGGCCTGCACTGTGCCCGAGGCCTGGCCAGAGCCAGCGCGCGCTCACAGCCTCTCCTAGGACTTACTGTACTTACTGTTGAGACAGTAGTTCCCACACTCTGCACGAGCCAGCGTGAAACAGAACAGGAGCATCAGAATCTCAGTCACCGGAAACCCATCCCTGTGGCTGCACACCCTGGAAACCAGCCTCTTTCCCTCAGAGCCCCGCAGAGCCCCCCCCCCCCCCTCCGGCTTCACGTGGGGGCGAGGGTGGGGCAGTGGCGGCCACCTCTGAGGCTCCCGCGACCTTGAGCTGACAGTCCTCATTTATTCTAACGCTGGAAAAAACTTCCTTGCTAAAGAGTTACTTACCTTGTCAATGATTATTACTTTTCTTGGCTCTAGGCCGTGTGTGAAGGAGGAAGGATAAACCAGCCAGCTGCCTCTTTTCTCTCCTGGGGGGGGATATATCCCCCCAATCCCCACCCTGCCACCCCCTTTGCAAGACTCCAGAGCTCTGGTTATTTGCGATTAACAAAGGACAGGCGAACTGTCCAGAAAGGACGCTCACTGAACACAAAACAGTGGAAACACCCTCACTGCAGTCAGTACACGTGGACACATGGACATTCTATCCCAAAACACCGGAGCTGGGAGCCACCATCGAGCCCTCTCGGGCCCTCTGTGATTTGGTTAAACACTGCGGACATCACTCTATTTAACCTGACCCTTTAGATCTATTATTTTTTATGTTGTTTTTCCCTGCGGTGAAGACCTTACTGATGCATCAGCTGAGACGTGTGTTGGTCACTTCCTCACCTTGAGACCTAAAGGCGTGTGCCCTCTGACGACATAAAAACGCTGCGGCCCCACTGAGCAGCGGTGTCCACGCCAGGCAAAGCCCCGAGGGACCCGGAGTTCCCAGCAGACTGCAGAGAGCTGGGGGTGGGGGGCTGGCTGCTGCGTGCGGGACCGGGGTGTTGTAACTCAGCTTTCCCAGCCTGGCGGGCTGCCGTCCAGCTTAGGGAGCGCTTTCCACATCGGGCAGCCCACTCACCCCCGCTGGGGCGGCGCCGCCCGCCCGTGGGGACAGTGCTACCTGGTACCAAATGCTTGTTCCACGAAGCAGCCTCTGGTGCCACAAAGTAAACAAACGAACAACAACCTTTCTCCACTCCCCCAGTCCTCGGCTATCTAAAGACCAGCTTGGAGGCCCCAATTTTTCCTTGTTTAATCATAAACTATCCTAAGAAAAGAAACTCCCGGTAGTATGCATATTTTATTAATTTGTGTTTCTATATACCGGGTTTTTTAAAGCATGGCCTATACTTACTAAAGCTATTTTTCATACACTGGGACCAAAAAAAATTAATCCTAATCAGAGTCAGCAATATGGTGTGAATCTACCAAATATACCATAAAATGTCCTAAATGTTGCCTATGTGGTAGGTCAGTATAGATGAGGCCAGATTCCATCTTTTAGGGCTGTGCATCCATGCAGGACGCAGGCCCTGAGCCCAGGCGAGGCCTCAGTGGCTATGGGTGTCCTTAGAGAGGGTGGATCAGCTCATCTGCTACAGAGAAACACCCCCATCTAGTGGCCTGCAGGGCCCTACATGGTCTGAGTCCAAACTGTTCTCAGTAATGAAATGAAAGGACAGGAAGGGAGGACCAGGTCCTATTTCTTCCCCAAGGAACCTGTGTGCTATTGGTTGGGAGAACCCCAGGACAAAACAGCAGCTGCATCCCACGCCCTTGTGTTGGATACTCAGAGCACAGCAAAGGCTCTGAGAAGTCCTGCAGAAGAGAGAGCTATTTAACCATGGTTACCTAAACTTCTTTGACCACAGAACCCTCCCTCCCATTTTGCGCATGTGAATGTGTGTCTGTCTCTCTGTGTATGCGAAACAGTCATTAATATTCTTTTTTTTTTTTTTTTTTTGCCATTAGTAGTCTTTAGAACTTAAATTTTTACATGCACCTTCTGATACTCGGCGTTCACTTATTAGTAACGTACTTGGATATAAGAGCTGTGAGGAACACAAGATGGGTACATTTGGATGAGAGTAGAAAGAAGAAAAACATCTCTAGGGAAGGGGGTGTTTATTTTTGAGGAAGGAGGCCTTGTGGCACCCCTCTGGTGAGATGAGAAGCGGGCCTCGGTACTGGGGTGCTGAGGTTCGAGGTGGAGGAAGGCATCTTAGAGGAAGAGCCCCCAGATGAAGGTGAGGCGATCACCAAAATCCAGCCTCATGATTTTCTCAGCACCTGAAGCCATGGCTGGGAGTCAGAAGAACCTATGGGTTCCCGAGGTTGGGACAGAGAGGCTCCATTTTCTGCAGCTGCTGCTTCAGGAAGCCTGTAGTGTCCTGGGGTCCCCGGAGCTCAGAGGGTGCTCCATGGCTACTGCAGTCAGGGCTCAGGCTCCCCTGCCCCTGCAGAGACCAAGGGGGCTCCCAAAACTGCTGCAATGATCTGGGTGCCCAGAATCTCCCTAGGATTTTTCTGAGTTTTGGGTTCCAGCCCTCCTGACAAGTGTCCAGCCTCCTGATGAGGTCCTAAGTGGAATTCACCTTCCTGCCACAAACCCTCTGATGAGGTCAGAGAAGACAAGACTCACTGAGGAGTCCCCCAGCTACATTCCTGATGGAGAAAGTGCCCCTTGGTGTGCACTGAGCGGGGGCAGGTGCTGGGGACTTCTACACCACGTCCCCGGTGTGAAAGGATGGGTCTGACTTTCGTGGGGAGCTCAGGAAGAGGCTCTGGCTTCTCAAGCATGACCTGGTTTCAGGCAAGGGAAAAAACCCCAGGCTGAATACATGGGCTATGAACCAGCTTGCTGGATTAGACAGGATTCTCTCTGCCCCCACCAACGATGGCTTCCAACCACTCTCAGTCTTCCAAGCTAAGAATTTGCCCAAACTGTCGGAATGTTCTGCAACTCCATGGAACAGTTCCAATGGCCCACTTCCCACTTTTTCCAAACCTTACCTGGGAATGGATGCTTTTCCCGTGTCTGTGGTCCAGTATGTGCCTGCTCGGGCCTGGAAAATGTCTCAACAGCGCTAACCTGCACCCAGAGCCCGCTGGTCCTCCGGAGCCACAGGACGGGCAACGGCTACTGGGGCACCCGCCGGACCTTCTCTTTTCCAAGGTACAAGGAGATAATGCTACGCCAGGGGCAGCTGGCAGCTCTGCCCAGTGTGCTGAGAACGAGGCCTAAGTGCTCCTCGGGCCCCCTGCCACTGTCCTTTCCTGGGATCTCGCAAGGAAGCCCAGCCCCTCGCCAGAGATCTGCCCCCTCATTCCCGTAAAATTGGCTTCTCACTGAACCCGAGCCCACAGCTGAGAAGTTACACGCCGGAGCTTTTGGTATGTGTCATGGCTAATGTTCTGTAGCAGGAAACGAGGGTTAACAAGATCACAAAGTATCCTTTCCTTCCTCCTTGAATTCCCAAAGCTGCTGGCTGTTCTGCAGCTGGACCACGCGCTAACGGTTGGTGCTGGTGCCCAGGCAGGGACACGCTGTCACTGCCGGTGGTGAGGAGGGGACAGAAGAGTCAAGGCCGATGTGTGAAATCCCAACCCAACTTGCCGAGTGAAGCGGCCACTCTTGAACTGAATCTCTGTAAGTGCAGCTATTAGCTGAACAAAGATTTGCTTGTTAGAATTATCATCAGCCCTGGCCGGTTTGGCTCAGCGGTTAGAGCGTCGGCCTGAGGTCCTGAGAGACCCGGGTTCGGTTCCCGCTAAGGGCGTGTACCTCGGTTGCAGTTTGTCCCCGGCCCTGGTCGGTTGTGCGGGTGGCAGCCACTCGATGTGTCCCTTTCACGTCGATGTTTCTCTCTCTCTCTCTCTGTTCCTCTCTCTCCCTCCCACTCTACCTGAACAAAAAATGGAAAAATGTCCTCGAGTGAGGATAAAAAAAAAAAAAGAATTATCATCAGGCTCATTCACTAATGGATCAGTGGTTCTTCTGGGGGTGGGGGGTGATCACTAGGGTGAGCTATGTTAACACATGTATTTCATACACTCTGCCATGCAGTTTTCAAAGGTCATTTAAGTATAATACGACTTAGTCTTCCACATGGCCAACTGGTATCTTTCATGTTTTCTGAGACTGATGCAAAATGACCTCTATCATTCCAAATCCTAAACATCTGCCCATAATTTCCCGTTTCCCTCTAAGTCCCGCCTCTGATAAAAATCAGGAACCTGGGGACAAATCAGAAAGACAGAGAGTGTGTTCCTTCCCCTAGGCTGGCTGCCTATGTCCTCTATGCCTGTCTACAAAAATTAGTTCCCAAACAGGTGAGGCCATCCCAACATCTCAACAAGAAGTTCCACGTGGCCCAACATGATGGCCACGTGTGGGCAGACCTCTTCCCGACACCGGCGTGGCTCTGTCTGCCCTGAGCAGGTGTGGGAGGCTCAGTCCAGCAGGGCCTCGTGGCCCACGACCGCTCCAGCTTTCAGACAAGGGCGGGTCACCAGCTGGGTAGCTCACAGCACCTGCCAATGGCTGTTACTAATAAGAACGGCTAGTGTTGGTCGAGTACTTACCAGGATCCTTCCAAGGACTATGCATTGTCTCATTTAATCTACATGAGTTAAACGTACCTTCTGTGTTAGATACTACTGCTATTTTTATTCTCATTTACAGTGAGGAAACTGAGGCACAGGGAAACTTACGCAGCATAGAAAATAGCACTCTACGGAAGGTTATTTATACTTCAGTTTGGAGAATTTGTATTTTTCTGCATTTGGCAAGATTTCTTTATAATGTGCACAGATAGGAATCAAACTATTTAGGCAAAATATTTATCAGCCCCCCAGGATGGGCTCTGGGCATGCCTCCGATGGAGGAGGTTCTGGAAACTCCCCTATATTATGAGCTAACCTTTTGGCTGCTAGACCACCAGGGGGTTCTCAGGGAAGGGGCCAGGGTAGGGGCGTGGGGAAGCTGTTTGCCCACTGTTACGGGAGGATTTCAGCATTTTAATTATTAAATAGTAATAGAAGTTTATATGTGATTAACCATCTGCTATGCCACTGAAATCACTGATGGAAAAACCGGGTTGGCTGTCCTGGTATCACTGGTCTTCGCCCGCTACCCGCCTGTCCATGGCCCCGCCCGGGAGCGAGCCCTCGAGTACCTTTCTGGCAGTGCAGACCCTCGAAGCCCAAGGGGCAGTCGCAGTCGTAGCCCTCCTTCCGGGGCCGGCAGCTGCCCCCGTGGGCACAGGGCGCGGCCACGCAGGGGTGGGCTGCATTGTCCACGTTCACGCCCCAGGTGAAGTCACGCTTCACGTGGATGGTGCGGTCGTTCAGGGTGATCTTGGGGAGAGAGGATGGAGAGAAATTTAGGAACTCAGAAAACATCTTCGCACTTTGTAAGGTGTCCCTGCACCCACAACCCCACCGACGGGCAGCGGGAGCTTTGGAAAGAAGAGAGTCCAGGGCTGCCGCGACATCCCAGGTCACGCAGGACCTGAACTGATGACGTTGGGCACTTGGAGGATGAGTCAAGCACCTCTGGTTCCGGAAGACCTGGTCGCTCGGAGGTCACAGAGAAGTCCCAGTAACTACAAAGCGGGGTCCCCATCTGGCTGCCTATCAAACTGGCCCGGGCAGTTGTAGGAAATACCTAATGCCCTTGCCTCCCCCCGCGTCCCAGTCAGGGATCAAACCTGCAACCTAGGTACGTGCCCTGACTGGGAATTGAACCCACAGACTTTTGGTGTACGGGACGATGCTCCAACACACTGAGCGGCCCGGCCAGGCCCCCAGCTCTTGCTGCCTTCCTCCCCTGCCGCTCTCGAATTCCCTTCCACTCTACAGCCCGTCCCCATGATCAGAGAAAAGGGAACTTCAGCTCACGTTCCCGCCACGGCTGGGCATACTCGCTGGACCAGAGAGCTCCTGTGCCCTGCCCCCTTTCCCCTGCGAGGGGCGCTAGAGAAACTGATCAGCTCTAGGATTACCTTACTGGGCTCCACCCCAATAAATAGATCCATTGTTTTCAGCCCTTGACTCAGACTGTGTGTCCACCCGGAGACGTTGATGTTTCCATGTCCGGAGTGCTTTGCAGAACTCAGGGAGAGGAAATACCCTCAGGGGAACCCCACCCTGCAGGGGGTCCTAACCCTGAGCAGTGGCACTTCCTGCCACGCACCCATGTCGGCAGAGGCTGGCCGAGTCCTTGGAGAGCCCGGGGGAGGCGGGAGGAACTTCTCCTCACCCTGAATCTCAAGCTGCTAGAGAGTAGCCAGGCTCTCTCTATAACGTCCTCCTTTTCATGCTGCGGTGAAGGACTGTGACACTGCCCCACGCAGCTGAGACAAGCCGAGAAGGGCAGCACTGACCACGGCAGGGCAGCCAAGGGCTGGACTGGACCGTGCAGGGAGCGGAGAGGAAAGGCTGTGTCAGCTGAGTGTCAGGGAGGGGGCCGTGCTGAGGGAGGGGCGGGGTGATGCCCCTTGGTGCCCCCGCTTGCTTCCTGAGTGACGATTTCAGACCCAGGAGTAAACATGGCCAGCCCCACTCGCGAGAGCAGACAGCGGTCTGACCTTGGCGTCGCTGTGACACCACCACAGTTTGCAGCAAAAGAAAGCACATCAGAGTCAGCAAATACTGCCTGGACCCCACACGGGGACACACCGCAGGACGGAGTCCCCGGGGCCCTTCCCAGCGCCGATGAGCAGACCATGACGGACCTTCCTTCCTTGCCCTCCTCCGCCGCAGGTCTGAAGACCGAGGCCACATTCTGCCTTGGTGGCTGAAGGACAACTGGATGATGCTAACACCCAGGAGCCCGGCGCACCTGTCTTCAGATCCTCTCCTCCCAGTGCTCGGGGGTCTGGAACCTTTGGTTGGTGAGCCCGCCTGTGTGTCGGCCAAGACAGACCTCACCGGTCCCATAACCGGGAGGTCATGGGCAGCCCCGAGGGAAGGAGTAAGGGAGGGATGTCGGTGGGGTCAGTGCCCTGCATGTTGAGTGGTTTTTCCCGGACCTCTGGAAGGACTCTAACCCACGCTCTTGAGAACACGGTTCCGTGATGGATGGACAACTGCTCAGCTGTCGGAGTGGGGTGGGGGAGGGGAACAAGGGCTGGTTCTCGCCTTCAGCGATGGCTAAGTAATCCCGCAGAGAAGCATAGAGCCAAGAGCTGCTATTAGACTCCATTCACCTTCCCTTCTGTAGAAGTTTCTAAAGCAACTTGCCAGCTGCCTCCCTCAACAGTCCCAGGATATTTTGTGGATTTGCTGTAAAAACTCATCTTCACGGAGTGGCGTTCATGTTATGTCTGCCGGGCAGAGACCCAAGAGCAGACATTCTAAGAAATGAGGTCAGAAAGCTATGCTGGGAGCATTCAAAAATGAAATCTTAGAAATGTGAACACTTTCCCCCAATTTTTTGTGTGCAGCTGTTTGCACACTGACCACAATTCTCCATCCCACTGTCTGCGGTCAAGGTCAAACAGCAAACACGAGGAAGCGAAGCCTGTACCTTCTGGATGCTCCCACTGAATGGCTTTAGGACGCCCGACTTGCTCTTCACCTCGTCGTAACTGGGGACGCCGCCGATGAAAATGTCCGCGTTGCAGTTAATCTGTGTGAAGCCACCCTGCCAACGGATAACCAGACACACAGCACAGCTGTGAGGAAGGAAGGTGAAGCCTGGCACATGAGCCTGTGCGTCCCCAGGAGACCCATCACGACACTGTCTTCTTGTTGGTCTGACGTCCACAGTGCTTTGCAATCCTACTGACCACCTGTTTGAATGTTTGTAAGTTTCCTAACCTGCCTGACACTCAGGTTCCCCATCTACAGAACGGGACGTGTCACAGTGATCGCGGTAGACCGTGGTCTCAGCCAGCAGCACCCCTCTCCTTGTGGGAAGACCACCTCCCACCTGTCACTCTCAAGTGAGGTATGTCACCTGCGCTCATCAGTAAAACAGAAGCAAGAGAGACGTGAATTGCTTTTGGATAGAAGCTTTCAGAGCTGGGGGTGGGTCCCCAGTTCCTTCGGTCTGGGTGTCAGATCGAAGGGGCAGCTGGCCACTGAGGACAGGTAGCGCGAGTGAGAAGTGAGCCCTGTGGGAGCTGCTGAAATGTGGGGGCTGTTTGTGACTGACGAGCACCGAGTCGGACATGCGCTCAGCGCCCCAAGGTGGCCGGCTGTTGGTCGGGCCCCAGCAGGTGTCTTCATTCCTTACAGGCTGACCTGCCTGCCAGTCACCTGCAGGCAGCCTCTAGGGCTCTGACTGAACGGGGGAGGTGGCCCGTCCGCGAAGGGCTTTAAGGAGCTGTCCCCACAAACCCACAGACGGCCATCCCTGCCTGTCTTCGCTCTTACCTGAAAGTTAAAACTAGGTAACAAAAGGAAAGGGGGAAGGTTGCCAGGGTCAGAGGGACCTCAGAGAAGCAGGCTGTTCTGACAGAATTTTGAGTGACGGTTGTATCTCCCCAACGGCAGGGCCGTGAGGGGTGAGAGCAGGTCCTTCGGCCGCTCAGAGCCCCCCTTTACCCCTGTTGACAAGCTGCAGGGCCCTGGGGCGCAGGAGAGGACAAGGTGGGTCTGTGTGCAGGGGGGCCCCACGTCCCCTGGAAGTGGATGGGTTCCCCAAGGCCCCGGGAGCTCGGGCCCTCCTCTGGGTCCTGCCGTGGCTTGACTTGGGCTGGGTTCTGGGTGCTTGTCAGTTGGGTCAGCTGAGCAATCCAGGGGCCCGATTCGTCTGCACACAGACGTGCAGGGCCCAGGGCCTGGGCTGGCCCCGGGAGTGCCCTCTACCTACGCTGCCCAGGACTGGGCACAGGGAAGGACAGCTGGGAGCGTCACCCCGGGAGACCGGCTGGGCCTCCCCACTCCGATCTCAGCGAGGCCTCCACAGAGCCGAGCTCAGAGGCGCACACGGCCGCACCCCTCCCGTCCCCACGTTCGCTTTGCTCTCCAGGCGGGTCGGGCCCAGCAGCTCCCAACACAGGCCACCCCGCCCCGCCGGTTATTCTCAGCCCGACAGGTGGCAACAGAACCCCGAGGTGCGGCTTTCCCTTCTGGGGTCTCTTCAGTGTGAGGTGCCGTGGTGAGTACCGCTCATTCGTAACCCACAGCCTGGAACTCCGCTGCTCACAAACACTCCCATCCTGAGCTACGACCGGTTTCAGAGACCTTTGTGACGAAGGCCCAGGGAGACACCGTGCTTTTTAGAATTTACATTATCAAGTGAACAGTCAGTTCAATACTTGTGAGCTTCCAATTCTGCCTTGGACTAAAGTTGGCTGTTAGAATTTTCTGGATTCTACCAGAAGTGACTCCTGTTATCCCTTTAAAATACATTTCCTTCCATTCCCTTCCTCCCTCCCTCCCTCCCTCCCTCCCTCCCTTCCTCCTCCCCCTCCCTCCCTCCCTCCCTTCCTCCCTTCCCTCTCTCCCTCCCTCCCTCCCTTCCTTCCTTCCTTCCTCCCTCCTCCCCCTTCCTCCCTCCCTCCCTCCCATCCTTCCTTCCTTCCTTCCTCCTCCCCCTTCCTCCCTCCCTCCCTCCCATCCTTCCTTCCTTCCAACTCCCCCTCCCTCTCTCCCTCCCTCCCTTCCTTCCTCCCTTCCTTCCTTCCTTCCTTCCTTCCTTCCTTCCTTCCTTCCTTCCTTCCTTCCCTCCTTCCTTCCCTCCTTCCTTCTCCTTCTTTCTCCCTCCCTCCCTCCCCCCCTCCCTCCCTCCCACAAATATATATGGAGCACTTTTTATTTGGTGTGAAGGGTCACTGCCTCTTGAAGCACAACGTAGTTGGGGACTCCTAATTCCCAAGGAGGTCTGGTCCTGACAGGACCTCACTGCGGCCAGTTCCTGAGGCTGCCTTCAGACACGGTGTCTTCTCTCCTCCTCAACCAAATACCCCTCTCCGCACCCAAAGTCTCTTTGCTTCCCTTTCTTTTTCTACTGATCCACTTTCTTACCAGCACACCGACAGTCACCACGGCCCTCTTAAAGTGCTGGGATCTAAAATACTTGCAAATCCGAAGTACCCTCTGCTTGTAGGCTCCTGTAAACTGGGGGTGGGGTGCAAAATCCCAGTAGGTTGTAGCTTAAAGCAAATCTCTTATCTCTTCTTAAAAATGTCAATTCCCTTTGGACTTATCCTTGGAAAGCAAATCATGAGAAATAAGATCAAATTATAAACCGAGGAACACTATGAATGGATAACAACAAGTAAAGCTAAGTAGTGCTGACCATACACAGGTTCCGTCGTGTCGTACCTAAATCACTTTCCTCATTTGCACAACTTTATGAAGTAGGCACTATTACCATCCCTATTATCTCTGTTTTATAGACGAGAAAACACACTTGGGTCTACGTATCACACACCCAGGCGAACAAAGGGCTGTGGAGGGGAGGTGGCCGTGCACAGGCGAGGAGTAGGAAAGTTAAGTACGTTACTACCGTGTGGCTGCTTTTGTCTCCAGGAAGGAAGGAAACAGGAACCCAGCCCTTGCAGGTGAGCCCTTACCTCCGCCATGCCCTCCACGACCTTCTGCTTGTCCACCTGTAAGAGGCCGCTCCTCGCCGTGCGGGACACGTGCAGCTCGTGCCAGTGGCCGAGGGCCAGGGGGGCTTCGCTCCTGTGGCAGGAAGGACACTGGGGTGGGTTCGCATCCCTCCCTCCCTTCCTCTAGCTCTCTCTAGCTCTGATGACACTGATGTCAAGCTCAGGCACCTCACTCCGTTCGGCAAAGAGAAAACGGTCATTCCTACTTAGCAAACACAGCAGTGTTAGCTCCATTCACCGGACCCCTTCGCGCGGGGAAAACTGCATGTACTGTCCTCTTTATTCCGTACAGCAGGCCTGAAGCGGGGGAGGGCGAGCCTTGTTTTCTAGATGGGGGTGAAAGAGGGTAAGACGTGGTCATTGCTGCACGCAAGCTTTGAAGGAGAGAGTTACATGGGCTGTAGTGCAAAACGGAGATCCTTGGCGTGCTGATGTCTACAGCATTGTGTAAATGCATAGAGACATAAGGTGGAAGGAAAGAAGGAAGGAAGGAGAGAAGGAAAGAGGAAGGAAGGAGGGAAGGAGGGAGGAAGGGAGGGAGGGAGGGAGGGAAGGAAGGAAGGAAGGAAGGAAGGAAGGTTATATATGGGACAAAAGCCAGTATAACAGAGCATTAATTGTTGACTACAGGAGGTGAAGACAAAGATGTTTACTGAGCTATTCTTTCAACTTATATATTAGACATTTTTCATAATAAAATGTTGGGCAAGGACACATTCCATGTTGTCTGATATTGTGTAAAGGATTAAACATACTTTAAAAATTCAGTTTTTAATTCAAGGCGGAAGTGCTTGAAGTTTGAACAACATTGATAAACGTTTTCCCATCACTTTTTACACGAGGCGTATCAAGCGTGTAATCATTGCATCTGTACTGCTGACGATGCCGCCTCTGGCCTTCGCTGCAACTCCCGCTTATTCTGTGGTCCTGGGTGCTCTCTGGAAAACCATCAGGAATACCAATGCACTCCATTATCGAAAGGTCTTCACCCCCTTACTTGATATTTTCCTCTGGCAAATGCTTTTGTGATTTGTCCTTAGCGATTAGGATTTAATCACCTTCACTAAATCAATACGCAATAAAGAAACCAGTGGCACTTGTTAAGTGGCCCCGTGTCCATAATGAGGAACGGCGCCCTAGCCGTGTTCTTGTCCTGCAGAGGTCACTCTGTCGATACACTGCCTCATAGTGCAGCTACGCTGCTCACGCAGAGTCTCCAGCTCATTGCGACTGTCTCGGTTTCTGAATCAGGCTCGTAATGAATTGGACCACTGGCCCCTCTTCCTAAAGTTAAAATGCGCTGGCTCATTCCACAACTTCGTGTAGCTCAGGCTTTCACAGAATTTTCTCAAATAAGCAGAAAGTCTGTGAAATGGTTTGTGACATCAATATCTTCCGAAGGGGCATCTGAAACACCACCAGTGCCCACAGTGTCAGGCTGTCCTGGGGGGAATGGGACAAGGGAGCAGACGGTAGGTCGGTCGCTGTTCCCGGAGCTCTGAGTGTGTGGTCCTTTGCATCACACCTGACACGCAAGAATTCTGTTTCCAGGCACCTTTCCTGACAGGCAGGAAAACAGTAACTTACTATTTTTTAATTTAAAAATACTCTTGTCTTTACACAGTGGAATAGTATGCAGCTGTAAAAAAGAAGGATCTCTTACCCTTTGCGACAGCACTGAGAGTATTATACTAAGTGAAATAAGCCAGTCAGAGTAAGACAAGTGTCACATGATCTCACTTATATGTAGAATCTAATGAACAAAATAAACGGATGAATAAAACAGACCCACAGGCATGGAAACACAGAACGGACTGACAAACCTCAGAGGGAAGGGGGGGAGGAAGAGAGTAACCAAAAATCTTATCTGCATATATGCATTGCCCGTGGACACAGAAAATAGGGTGGTGAAGACTTGGGGTGCAGTGAAAACCGGGTGGAGGGGGCCAATGGGGGGACACGGGGGGACATCTGTAATACTCTCAACAATAAAGATTTTGTAAAGAGTTGGCCTGGAATTAGGAAGAGAGGAAAGCGGGACTTCTGAGTCCCCAAGTGTCTGTGACCCCCCACAGCTTAGCTGCCTCTGCTGAGGTGCAGGGAGCAAGCTGTCCAGGAGGAGGGCTGATGAGTCCTGACTTTTCATGGCTCTTGCTGGTCATCCTGACCCAGGATGAAGCCACTTGGAGCACAAGGTGATTTGCAAGCTGTCCTCCTTCCTCAACCTGACACATCGCTCCTAGCGAATTGCTTAGGCTGGTGCATAATCATATGTAAACTGAATTAACTAAATACCCACCAAAGTTGTCTGGAGACACAGGATGTTTGCAGAAGCACAGGCACAAAAATGCCTGTCCATCCCCCCAGGTGGGAGGTGTCGTGATGTGTTGGGGTTCATCCATAGGACAGAAACACACTGTCCTTTGAAGAGTTAAGGAGATCCAGCAGTTAGCATGAAAATGACCAGCAACTGAGGGTGATGCATGGCTGTAACGTCTCACCCACATGCTTCTCCTAAAAATGACATTCCAGCAATGTGAATGGATTGACTGTGACCTGGGATCTCCCTCAGAACAGCAACACACCCCTGGTTTCCTGCTGCAGGGCAGCCTGACACAGAGCATCCCAGCGAGACCCGACAGGGAGCTGCACTGACGGAGGACCAGGGAGCACGTTAGCATTAGGTTAGCAGGCCTCCGAGCGCAGGTAGAACGACCCCGGGAGGGACCCAGTGAAGAAGAGCAAGACACAAACAAGTAAGGAAAACGTCTGCACCTCCCATCACAGGCTCCGCGGGACACACGCTGACGGGACAGTCGCCTGCTAAGGGAATGACTGCTGCAGACCAGGTGACTGAAGAGAAGTACTGACGACTCAGCACAGACCCTGCAGATCCAGCGAGCTTGAGGCCCCGATGTACTACGAGCTGTTGACACAGCCTTCCCAAGCCCACGGGCCACAGGTGGGTCTTTGCAGTGGCCGATGATTCATTGTCAGAGAACGGTGACAGGCTTTCCAAAGCACGCGTCACCGTGGAAGAAACGGCGTGAGGGGAAAGTTGAAATGTAGAGTGAGGTCACCCCGGGCATTTCTGGTCATTAAGTTTCTGTTATTACTTTTTCACTAGTCGTCGTTTGCCTGCTGAGCGCCCACCAAGTGATGCTCTGGGCCAGGTGCTGATTAATTACAACTCATCGAATTTCTGCTGATGGCACGGTGACCCCACGTGGAGAGGAAGGCAGATTCCCCTCCTCGGAAGCAAGCCTGTTTCCTTAGCTTGAAGCACAGGGGCCCTACTATTGGGTAGTTATCTAAAAAAGGACACCTCACAGCAGGACAGCATGATCTACGGGGAGCACGTCACCTGTATAAATCAGGACAGGTTTCAGAAAGGATAACTTGCCCTGGCCAGTTTGGCTCAGCGGTTAGAGCATCCGCATGTGGTCCTGAGAAAGGATAACTATGCAGGGACAACAGGAAGATCATAAGCGACTGAATGACAGATTCCTCTTTTTCCAAAGTGGGTGCTGTTTGGCTTTTGGGGAAGGGGACCCCTAAAAGTCTCAGCTCTTACCTGAGAATGGCCGTCCCAGAGCCACAGTCAAAGCGGAACTCCACGTGGCCCCCTGCCATGTTGATGGACAGGAAGTCTTTGCTGCCTATGTCATAGCTGTACAGGAGGACGCCGTCGCCCGAGTCCGGCCGAAAGGTGATCTCGAACTCCATGAAGGAAAGGTAATGCCGGGGCTCCAGGGGCCAGGGCGTGGCCGCATAGGATCTCAGGGACTCTCTGAACTGAGGGATGGTCAAGGTGAAAGCTGGAGAGACAAGCATGCCGTCAGAAATCGCTCCGTGGCAGGACCAGCTGGGCTCTTTTCCTCTGGGCACAGAGCCCACCACCTTCCTGGCGGCCCCGTGGTGAGGGGGGTGGTCTAAGGGAGCTCTGGCCAGTGGAACGTGGCTGGGGGTGCCACGCCGCACCAGGTCTGGCCCCTAGAACGTCCCTCCATCCTCCAGGGTCCTCTCTGCCCTCACCGGCTGGCTGACTCAGTGCAGGGCTCAGTGGAGGGCTCCGGAGCCCCGGCTGAGCCACCGGAAGGCAGGAGCCTGTGTCCCCGAATGACTGCGTGGAGCAGAGACCACCCACCGCTGCCAGCACCTCCCATGATGCGAAATGTGAGCAAGACCAGCCTTTATTACACGAGATGGCATGTGGCAGCTCTGGCTTACCCTGACCCCTGTGCCCCCTTCTAGGTGACATGAGATTTCACATTAGACAGTGTTAAAATGTTCTTCTCCGTAGGGCATCTTAGGTCCAAATCTGAACCACTGGTGGGAAAGTTAAAGCACATTCCACCGTGTGTGGCTTTCCAAAATCTTTACAGTTTCCCATTATATATGTGTGTGTGCATTAGTTTCCACATATGTGTGTACATGTATGCTTATGTTTATGTGATCAATGTACACGCTATTAGGAGGTGGGGTAATTCTGCAGAGCAGGACGAGGGAACGGAAACAGAATCAGTCCTGCGCCATCAGTGGTTAATGTTTCTGCGCATGTCTCCGCCTTCCCTCGGAAGCGCTCGGACATGCCAGGTCACGACAGGTCAGCAGCCTGGTGCAGGCCACACAAATACAGGCCTGACCGTTGTTTGCGGCCCAAGAGGAGCCCACCCACGTCTGGCCCAGGAGCGTCTTCAAACAAAGATTTGGTTTGCACTGTGATATCTGAAGACACTCCAACCTAGTAAAAAAAAAAAAAAATTCTCCCAAGCCTCCCAGTACAGCAATGTCAATCCCATAAACACGTATGGGCTTTACTTAAAGTAGCTGATGAAAACTGACATCGACGTCAGTGAACATGCAGTTAGAAACCGCCGTCACTTGCTTCTTTCTCACCGTCTTCACAGTGCCGACCTTTAAATCCGAGGGGACAGAGGCAAATGTAGGCGTCAGCTTTGACGGCCGAGCAGGTGCCACCGTGGACGCACGAGGTGTCATCGCAGACGCCGCTGCTGCACTCGCCTAAACACAGGACAGAAGTGACACAGCTGCCTGGTCGCCAGCCAGGCCAGGACCACGGAGCTGGCCAACACCCGGGGCCCTGCATACATGTCAGTCCCCACTCCTGTCGCTCACCCCTTTTCCCGCTGCAGACCAGCCTCCAGGACAAGTGCAACCTACCCTTCCTTTTCATCTGATCCTGGCTTGCTCTTTCTGAAGGGCCACAGACTCTTTAAAACATGGTGGACGCAATAAATCACTGACTAGATTTGGGGGCAATCCTAGGACCACTGACAGGGATGGCTGAGGTGATTTTGCTTTAATTCGTCTGTCTGTTGTTCCTGCAAGAATGTGATTCAATTCCTCCAGTGTCAATCGAGTGTGGCCCCAGGGACCAGCCAGTGAAAATTTCGGCATCCAAGAAAAGCACCGAAGGAGCTAAGCAGCCATGTCTGATCCTGTTCACTGGCCTGAAGCAGGGACTCTCCAGTCTGGAGCGGGGGGGGGGGGGGGGGGCAGGAAGGGCTCCCCAAGACCTCAACGTGTGACCACGGATCCCTATTTCCGCCTCAAAGTTACGATCTGAGAAAAGAGACGTTCAACATCAGGTGGCTTGGTTAGTTCTCTTAACCAGACACACAGCAGAGAGGCTGTGGAGGGTACACTTGGTCATTTTCAAGTGCAGGTCAGCAGACAGAGTGACAACAAATTGGCTTTCCTTGGGCTGCTCTTCTTGTTTCTTTGATCTTAGCTTCTCCTCGTGTGTAAGAAATAAACAAGACCCCCGAATTACATAGGTGACTACAGAACACTTTGTGGGGGGATGGAGGCAAAGGGAGAGCATCCCTGATTGAGCCAGTGAGGGGTCCCCCTCCACGTCCGGCAGTCTCCTGGTCTCCAATGCTCCACCCGCATGAGCTGGTGGCCCCCTCTCTGTGAGCTGAAGGTCCCCCCAATTGTGTCACCTCAGCAGGGTGAGTCTTATCCTTTCTGAATCAGTCATCCGTGGTTGTTGAACTGATCCAGTGTCTTCTTCTCACAGAGCCTCCCAGGGCGGGAGCGGCTGGGGGCCGTGTGTACCCCCAGAGGAGAGAGGCGTCGGGGCTGACAGTGGAACTTAATGAAAGCCCTCCCAGATGGCTCGCCACCAGCCGGGTGGGCTGGCCTCTGTGGATTCCAGCTGGGGACACTGGAAGCTCGTGCAGAAGTGACCCCTGCTCTCCTTCAGCGACAGCACTGATGCCCCGCGGCCTTCTGAGGCTCCACGGACAGGCTGGCGGGACCTTAACCAAACTCTCACGGGTCCCCCCCCTCCCCCGCTCCAGTTTCTGTGGGCGGAGGGTCTTTCTCAGAGAAGGGCTGGTCCCACAAAAAGAAGTGGGATCCTTGGGTTATCTTGGAAAACATCTTTTTTGGGGGGGTGCAAATTTGCATTGCAGCTATTTTTTACGAGGTGGGAGTTGGGGATGGGGTGGGGTGTGAACACCAGCCAGAGTGGTTGACTCGATGGAGTAGCGCTGCAGCTGGTGTCTCCTGGCCACTGCGTGCAGGGAGGCACACAGGATGGAAGGGGGGCAAAGGAAGGGGAGACACGCGCTGTGAGCGGGCGCTGGGCGCCCAGGAGGGGCTGGCCATGGCTCCATTTAAGCTCTGGTGACTGTGGAAACATCCTGTCGAGCCAGCCCCGTGGCCAGGAGGGGGTCTGCGCACTGGCGAGGGATGGAGGGGCAGCAACAACGTGGGTGACCCTGACACCGAGGATGAATGGGCCCCCCGAAAGAGGACAGGATGAGAGGATCCATGGAATTCCTGGGGAACCGCAGAGGGTGAGGATCCCACAGAGGAGACAAAGGGAGACAACTGAAGGGCTCTGGGGAGGTTCAGGCAGGGTTAGGCAGGTTCGGGGCGGAGCTCGGGGCGGAGCTCGGGGCGGAGCTCGGGGCGGAGCTCGGGGCGGAGCTCGGGGCGGAGCTCGGGGCGGAGCTCGGGGCGGAGCTCGGGGCGGAGCGGGAGGAGGGAGACAGCCAGGTACTATCTATCTCTGCAGGGTCAGAGGGTGGGCTTTGGGCTTGTGAAGGGGATGATCAGCGCTTCTGGAGAGCAGTTTTGCAGGGCAGTGGGAGGCAGCAGCCCCACCCCAGGAGGGTCAGACGGGCCTGGAAGGGTTGCTGGAGTCAGGTTTTGAAAGAGAGGGGAGAGGTTCCCAGGGTCCCAAACCAGAAGGGTAGCAGGGTTGTGCGAATGTGGCGCTGGTTTAAGCTGGAGGGGATCTGAGCAAGTGTCAATAAGCTAGGGCAGGGGATCCGTGAACATAGATGGGAAAAATATTCATCTTTATTTTCCCTAACTTCCAGTTGGAATTGACTTTTTCGTCAATTACAGATGTAGATAACAAACCTCTGCTATTAGCCCTTCTTGTGACTTGTAACCAACAGACCTGAGTTATTGTCATGTCATATTCCATTTATTGCCTATATCTCGAAATATCATTTCTGCTGCTTACTACCTTGAAATCATGTCGTTATTGCATCACCACTAAGCAGTCTTGTTCTTTAACAAGAGAACAAGCACCTAATTATTAATATCAAAATTTTAAAGTGTTGTATAGCTTTAGTTCAATATAATTCTTTCCTATCATGTATATTATTCTCTACATTTAAAAAGTGCCAATCTGAGAAAAGGTCCATGGCCTCCCCCAGACTGCCAAGGGGCCCACGGCCCACAGCAGGTTAAGGACCCTGGTTACTGAGAAGAGACAGCCCTGGCAGCACGGGTGCAGGGATGTCAGAAAGGACAGGTAAGGGATGTGGCTGAATAGGTCAATTTAAAAAATTAAATTAAATTACATTATTTTACTTTCTTCTAGTATTTATTTACTTTTTAAAAGTTTAAATCTTTTTAAATTTATTTTTTCATTACAGATGTTCCTCCTTTTCTCCCCATTGACACCTCCTCCCAACTCCTACCCCCCTTCACTGAAGCGTTGTCTGTGTCCACTGGTTATGCATATAAGTTCTTTGGTTTACCTCCCCCTGCCCCAGTCTCTTTCCCTCTGAGGTTTGTCAGTCTGTACCCCACTTCAGTGTCTCTGGATCTTTTTGTTCCTCAGCTTGTTTTGTTCATTATATTCCACAAATAAGTGAGATCATGTGATACTTGTCTTTCTCTGATTGGCTTATTTCACTTAGCATAATACACTCCATGTCTCTCCATATTGTCTCAAAGGGTAAGAGATCTTTCTTTCTTTCTTTCTTTCTTTCTTTCTTTCTTTCTTTCTTTCTTTCTTTCTTTCTTTCTTTCTTCTTCTTCCTTCCTTCCTTCCTTCCTTCCTTCCTTCCTTCCTTCCTTCCTTCCTTTCTTCCTTTCTTTCCTTTTTTCTTGTACGTGCCCCTAATGGGACCTGAACCTGGGACTCTCTGGTCTGCAGGCCAACACTCCAGCCTCTGAGCCAAACCGGCCAGGGCAGATCTTTATTTCTTATAGCTGCATAGTATTCCATTGTATATATGTACCACAGCTTTTTAATCCACTCATCTACTGATGGGCTGTTTCCAGATCTTAGCTATTGTAAATAATGCTGCTATGAACACAGGGATGCATATATTCTTTCTGATGGTGTTTCAGGTTTCTTAGGATATATTCCTAGAGATGGGATCACTGGGTCAAATGGCAGTTCAATTTTTATTTTTATGAGGAAACACCATATTGTTTTCCATAGTGGCTGCACCACACTTGTTTGATTTGTTTATGGCAACCATTCTGGTGGGAATGAGGTGATACCTCATAGTCATGGGTATTTTAATGGGGACTGCATTGAATCTATAGATTGCTTTGGGTAGTATGGACACTTTAATGATGTTGATTCTTCCATGAACATGGTATATGCTTCTACTTTTTAATACCTTCCTCTAGTTCTTTGTTCAATGTCCTGTAGTTTTCTGAGAACAGGTCTTTTACCTCCTTGGCTAAGTTTATTCCTAGGTATCATAATTTTTTTGTTGCAATGGTAAATGGGATGTTTTTTAGTTTCACTTTCTGAGTGTTCATTATTGGTATATAAAAATGCAAACTATTTCTGGATGTTGATTTTGTATCCTGCTACTTTGCTGAATTCATTTATTAAAATCTAATGATTTTTTGGTGGAGTCTTTAGGGTTTTCTATATATAATATCATGTCATCTGCGAATAATGACAGTTTCACTTCCTCCTTTCCAATTTGGATGCCTTTATTTTTTCTTCTTGTTTGATTGCTGTGGCTAAGACTATGTTGAATAAGAGTGGTGAAAGTGGGCATCGCTGTCTTGTTCCTGTTCTTAAGGGAAATACTTTTAGTTTCTGCCCACTGAGTATGATGTTGGCTGTAGGTCTGTCTTATACAGCCTTTATTAAGTTGAGGTATAATCCTTCTTTTCCCAATTTGCCGAGTTTTTATCAAAAATGGGTGCTGAATTTTGTCTAATGCTTTTTCAGCATCCACCTTTTGTAGTTTTAACAACAGTATCACCTTTCGGAGTGAACCAGGTGGAAGAAGCATCTGAAGTCTATCTGGGAAACTTGGATTGATGCATGTGGCTAAGAAGGCAGGAACTGGAGCCAGAATGACTGGGGTCACATTGAGGCTCTACCACGTACCAGCTGTGTGACCTAACTTTCTCCACCACCAGTTCTCATTAGCTACAGCTAACCACAGCACCTACTTCGCAGGCACCTTGGGAAGAGTAAAGTAGTTTAGAATGGTGGCGACATATAGTAGATGTTCAACTAATATTAGTTACAGAAACAAACTATACCTGGAGACAGGTGGATTGATCTAGGAACGGAGAGAGAGATGGACTGATAGGTGGTGAAGCAAATATAGCAAAATGTTAATGGCAGAATCTAGGGTGCATGGTTCGCTGGGCATTCTTCCAAAGTAATGTCTTAGAGACGGGAGGAAAAGAGACCCAAGAAGGGACTTGCCATTGCTGGCCAAGGACAACGCCATGCGAGGGTGTGATGCTTAGAGACGTAGCACCCTCGGGATTATGCGTCAAAGCAAGGGAATCACAGGGACACCATGAGCTCTGATACCCCCAGGTCACTGTTTTGGACTGAGTTGTGTCCCCAAAATCCACACACTGAAGCCCGACTCCAAGTGAGACTGGATTTGGAGATGGGGCCTTCGAGGTGGTAATTAAGGTTAAATGAAGTCATAAAGGTGGGCCCTAACCCAGTCTGACTGGCATCCTTATAAAAGGAGGAAGCGATACCAGGGACTGGAGCACAGACAAAGGGCCATGTGAGGACAGGGGGAAGAGGCCACCTGAAGCCCAGGAGAGGGGCCTCCAGAGAACGGAACCTCTGACACTTGGTCTAGGAGCTCCGGCCTCCGGACTGTGAGGAAATAAATGGCAATGTTGGAACCGCCCAGTCGGCGGGGTTTGTCATGGCAGCCCTAGAAGGCGAAATAGTCACCCAGTGAACCAACCTTAGAATTATCTACCAACTTCCTTCAGAGGTGGAATAAGTGTCCTTAGTGGTTTATTTTATTTTTTTAAATAGGTTTTTATTGATTTTAGAGGAAGAGGAAGGGAGAGAGAGAGAGAAACTTCTATATGACAGCAAAACATGGACTGGTTGCCCCCTACCCACCCCCTACCAGGGATTGAGCCTGCAGTCTGGGCATGTGTCCTGACTGGGAATTGAATCTGCAACCACCCAGTACATGAAGATGCTCAGTCAGCTGAGCCACACTGGCTGGGCAGTCCTTATCGTTTTAAAAACAATCCTAGCCGTGGCCGGTTTGGTTCAGCTGTTGGAGCCTCGGCCCACAGACCAATGAGTCACAGGTTCAATGCCAGTCAAGGGCGTGTACCTCGGTTGCGGGAGGCAGCCGGTCGATGTGTCTCTCTCATGTCGATGTTTCTCTCTTTCTCCCTCTCTCTGTCCCCCTCCCACTCTATCTGAAGAAAAATAAAAAAATATCCTCAGGTGACAATTAAAAAAAAAACAATAATAAAAATAAGTAAATAAAAACAATCCCAGTCTTTTCAACAAATAGTGCTGGAATAACTGACATCCATGTGCAAAAAAACGAAATGAATACGGACACAGACCTTATACCCTTTACAAAAATGAGTAACTCAAAACAGGTCGCAGGCTTACATGTAAAACGTAAAACTACAAACTCCTAGGAGATCACATTAGGCACAGACCTAGATGGCCCTGGGGACAGGGATGACTTTTGAGACGACACACCAAAGGCACAACCCATGAAATAAGTCATTGGTAAGCTGGACTTCACTAAAATTAAGTATTTCTAACCTGCGAAAACAATGTCAAGAGAATAAGAGACAAGTCACAGACTGGGAGAGAATGTTTGCAAAGAGACATCTGACAAAGGACTGTTATCCAAAATACACAAAGAACTCTTAACGCTCAACAATGAAAAAACCAAATTTAAGAAAATGGGCTAAAGATCTTAACAGATACCTCAACAAAGAAGATATACAGATGGCAAATAAACATATGAAAAGACACTCCACTTCACGTATCACCAGGAAAATGCAACTTCCAACAACGAGATCCCACTACACTCCTACCAGCAGGGCCCACATCTGGAACCCTGCCAACACCAAACGGAGGATGTGGAGCGACAGGAACTCTCACGGGTGGAGCTGCGAAATGGGACCGCCCCTCCAGGAGACCGTTCGCCTGTGTCCTACAAAACTGAACACACTCCACCATGGCCCAGCAATCACACTCCTTGGTATTTATCCAGAGGAGTTGAAAACTATGCCCACCCCCCAAAAGGGGGATGTTCATAGCAGCTGTAGTCCTCATTTCCAAAACTTCGAAGCAACTAAGATGCCCTTCAGTAGATAAACGGATAAACCGTGGTCCATCCAGACTACTATTCAGCGCTAATAAGAAATGAGCTATCAAGTCATGGAAAGACACGGAGGAACTCTCAATGCACATTACTAACTGAAAGGAGCCAATCTGAAAAGGCTGCACATACCGTAAGATTCTGGTTACATTCTGGGAAAGGCAAAACTGTAGAGATTGTAAGTTTTGGGGGAGGGAGGAGAGAGATGAACAGGCAGAGGATTTTTAGGGCAGTGAAAATACTCTGTATGATACCACAATGATGAATAGATGTTAGTATATATTTGTCCAAACCACAGAATCTACATCACGAGTGAACCACAACGTACACTGTGGACTTTGGGTGATTAGGACGAGTCAATGTAAGTTCACCAGTTGCACCAAATGTCCCACTCGGGGGGGGGGGGGATGTTGATAATGGGGGAGGTCGTGCATGTGCAGGGATGGAGAGTATATGGGGATCTGTGTCTTCCCCTCGATTCTGATGTGAACATTAAACTTCTCTAAAAAATACATTTTAATTTAAAAAACAAAGTAAACAATCCTAGCTCTGCCTGCTATTGTGGGTAAGTTACTAACTTTGACAAGCCCGTTTCTTCACGCATAAGATAAGTGTAAGAACTTTTACCTCCTCGGGTGCGTGAGAGTCAGTGAGAGGGTGCAGGAGGAAGGGCTGAGGGCTGGGCTTGGCGCTCAGGAGCTAGAACTGGACCAGTTCTCTCAGCAGCAGAGACCATGTGAGAGCCCTTCCTACCTCACTGTGCTGGCTTCCCCGCCGCCGGGGTGACCAGGGTGAAGGGCTGACCTGCTGCTGCTCCGTCCCTCCAGAGCATGCTCCATCTCGTGAAGAGGGCCAGGGGGCAGGCCAGGCAGACCAGGGCTCGGTGCGCCACACTGTGGACACGTCTTGGTGTTCGAACTCACTGCAGAGCCCAGCATCACCCTCGGCCCGCCTCCGGCTGGAGTTCTGCACTAACCAGCTGCCTCACCTCCCTGGCCCACCCCAAAAAGGCAACCACCCAAGAGCACCCGGCCCACCGGGCACCACTCACCCACATCGGCCCCGCTGAGGGCTTTCCCCAGTGGCCAGGGCCTCAGGTCGATTCTCTCTCCGTTCACCGTGAGCGACTGCACGCAGCCTTGGAAGCCTCGGTGTGTTCCCGTTGCTCGGACCAACCAGTAAGTGCTGGGAGCTCCACCGAGATACAGGGGTGTCCGGAAGGTAATTTTACTGTACTGGCCCTTTAAGAAAGATGGAAACTGTGATTCACTAAACAAAATCAAAAGCCCAAACCGCCACTGATTTTAATGAGGGACGTGCCTAGGATGGAGTTTACAGCCATCCATCCCTCTGTATCTTTAAGACATTGCCCTCGAGCAAAAGTAAGGCCATGGTTACCATGGGAACTCTGGGAGCTTCGCAGGGGCTGTTTCGAGAAAGGAGGATTTTGGAATGCCTCGAAAGGAAGGGAGGGAAGGTCGGAGCCAAGAGCAACCCAACAGGCCGTGTACCATGCTGGGCATCCAAAAATAACTTTCTCTTTCCAGTCCTGACACCAATTGACTGTGTACCTTGGATGGGTCACAGGGCTACTCTGTGTTTCCAAAGGTGATAATACTAATTTTATGTATACGTGGGCCGACATTTACCCTTTCTCTGTCCCAGTCACCTTTATACTATATCCTGCAAGAAACCCTGTAGGGAGGGTTACCAAACAGATTTTGTTGCAAAATATTTTGAAATTTGCTCACGGTCCCAACTTTTTTTTTTTTTTTAAGTGTTATTCCAGTTAGGTGGAGACATTTCCACTCTTAGGGCAAACCGCAACCTGGATCGCAGGTTTTGAGGTTACAGAACACAGAGCTGCACGTTAGACGGGGCACAATGAAGGCTCCTGTGGTCATTCACTTTTTGATTATGGAAATATCTCATTCATTTCGATGAATAGAAGGCAGTGGAGGAGAGGCAGGCTGCCAGACGTATAAAATGCCCAGAAGTTAGACCACTGAAATGTAATCTTTATCCTTCACACTTGTTACCGAGAAGTAGAAGACTTACGCATTGTTCTGTCCGTGCTAATGAGCAGATAAGACTCCTTTGTAAACAGTGTACTGCATCTGAGCTAGGCAGGTGCAGAGCACTCCCCGTGAATTTAAGGGTTCACTGTTTGCCGGCCACTGGCCTCCTGCTTTCCGTATTCGAACTGAGTGACCTGTTGGCTTATTTCATCAACATCCTCACGATTCACTCCTTCTGGATCCCACATTCACCCCTTGGCTCTGGTCCCTGACCCAGGACCGTGGCAGGGGCCTGGCAGCTCCATCCTCTTCCCCTTCTCTGGAGCACTTGGTGCCCCGTAGGGTGGCTGGTCCCTCACGACATCCCAGGCGATGGTCTTCGGTCTTCGGCTGGGCTTTCGCCGTCCTCTGATGAGGGCTGCCCTCAGGTCCCTGGAGCCTGCTTTGCTGCGCATGCGGAGAGCTGGCATCGCCCGAGTGTGCACTGCCTCGGCACAGCCCTCACAGTTTTCAGTGAGTGCGGAGCATGGAAATCCAACTTGCTTCGAGTCGGAGTCGCTCTGAGGCGTAACTCACACGCAGTGCCCTGTGGGGCAGGCTGCAGCCAGGCCCGGAGCAGTCCTTCCTGGGAGCTCACTGGTGCCGACCTTTGCCCTACCCTGTCCATGTCCCCCTTCCCCTACAGGCTTCCTGTGGCAACGCTTTCTTAACGCATCATTCGCACACGACTCCTCAGCTCAGGTCTGTTTCTGGGGAACTCCGACCTAAGACAGAGTCATGTTCCCCCGGACAGTTTATCAAACAGTCCACACCTACAGTCCTGCTCACACAACTTGCTTAGCAAGTCCTGGGAGTAGAGAGACAAACACTGCCCTGAGCATCAATAAAATGATATGTTTCTTGCAATTAATTCTTATATTCATTAAAATCAGAGAGCCTGAGGATTAGACAAACACGAAAACTCAGACAACCCAAGCTCCCACTGACTGCTGGGTTCCTTGCACACGCCTACCCAAAGGTTTTGATAAGTTACCACTTGAACACCCCCAAGGAAAGGGAGCCCCCCCTGGGAAGGTCTGCTGCACCTCTGTACACCTTTGTATGATTAAGAAAAGCTAAAATTGGCTTTATCTTTCAGCTTCAGCCTTGGGATCTAGAGAATAAATCCTTTTCCCCCAACACTCTCCCTTTGACTCTGATGAAAAGCTCCCGTCCACACCTTCATCTTCTCTTCTCCAAACTAAATAAGTTCCTTCAATCAATCATTCCAGGGATTTCAAGTCATCTTCCTCTTTCATTGACTGTTCTTTGAACATGTCCCAGTTTGCCTGTGAGCCTCTTGAGTATAATCACAGCTCTAGATACAGTCCTTACAGAGGATCAGTCATCACCAGAGCTCTGGAAGCTACACACACTGTCACCAGAATAAAACAGCATTATCACCTCCATTTTTCTAGACGGCGTGCCGCTAATAATGGAACCTGTACTTTCCTTAGCTTGTTGTTACCACATGACTGTTTTAGTAACCTTCATTGAACTTCCTTGCTTTAAATCGTAAGACACCTTCACAGGTGTTTCTTCTATTACAGCTTCTCCATCCAGTTTTCACGTTCGTATTTTGGACCCAAGTTCATAGCTTCTTTATCACACTGAATTTTAACCATATTGGGCCTATTGTTGTAGCATCGATGTGACCCTGTAGTTGATTTATTCTGTCTTTCCTTCCTTACAAATGTATGCTTCAGCGATCTCACTGGATTCACGGTCATTGTCTTTGAATTCTTGTTTCTGTGGAACCATCAGGGTCCAAAGGAAGGGGATCCGCAGAGCGTGGCCCTTTACTTAACGTGTCAGCACAGAGCAGTGGAGATCCGGGCAGGGAGGAGGCGATCCACATACACACAAAGGCTTTCTTGCTACGTTTTTCCTCAGACACCTGACTGATTATAATGACAGGTTCGGTTCCTTGGCAGGTTGCTAACCCAAACACAAGTCCTAAAATTCCCCAAACATGACAAATATGTGAATACCTAGGTGATATGTTGAGTAGCCCAATGGTTAAACTGTTTTACCACTTCCTATAATCATCGTCCCCAAAAAAGGCACCTGAATGGATTATTCCTGCATTTTGAACCCAGTGAACCCCTTGGAACTATTTTCTAAAGCCACAGGATTGCAACACGCCGGCTTAAAAGTCAGCTCTGAGTCCGGCACTAATGAGGGCTTCTCCCCTGCCCTGGCTTTGATGTCCCTGTGGAAAAAGAACATGTTCCTGAACAGCCACCGCGATGCCTGCGGATTCAGGTCTCCTCCTTGGTAGACGGGGTGGATGGGCGCCCCGGACGCCCACCTAGAGCGGTAGGATCAGCAGGCGCACATCAGAACTCAGCTGCGGGGTTCGCCATGAAAAACGGCCCATCCGGGGCTCGCATTCTGCCAGGTCTGCCTCCGCCCTCGCAGTGGGGCCCCTCCGGGTGCGGGTGGTGGGGGCCAGGGGGTGGGCAGGGCGTGAGGCTGTCACTCACCTGGGACTGGCCTGTCACCGGCGTGTCGTTGTTCAGCTGCAGCAGCCCGTTCAGCCCGTCTCTGTAGAGCGTGACCGTGTGCCAGGCCCCCAGCTTGATTTTGGTCTCACTCACGATGATGGCCACCCCAGTGCCGCAGTTGAACCTGTGGAGGAGGAAGAGGCGGGATCTTTGAGCAGCCAGCTCCCTGTGATTCCAGACCCCACGGACATCCTCGCAGGGTGACGACTTCCCTGAGGGTCAAGCTGCTCAGGACGAGGTCTGCAAACGGCAAGGGCAGTTTAAAGGTGTGCACGGAAGCGGCAGCCTGCTCCCTGGGCACCGTCAGTAGTTGCCTTTCACCTGCCCAGAACCCCTTTCAGCGTGGGGCCTCTTGAACCTGGTTTCTCTGCAGCTCAGAAAGTGATGGGCGGCTGAGGAGGCTCTCTGCTTTCCGGGGACTGCCGGATGCCTGAAGTCGACTCGGGGGGCAGGGAATCACAACGTGGGCCGTTCTGCTTCCAGGGATCTCTTTCGGGACTTCCCCCAATTTCCAGATGGTAGGCTCAGCGATACTAACAAACCATGGACCACCGGGCGTTCACGCTCCTGCCAAGCGGCCCGCACTGCCACTTGCATCCAGCTGCACCCAGACGCAGGGCAGGGTCCCTAGGGGCTCCAGCTCGGGGGGGGGGGGGGTGAAGGAGGAGCATTTTCAGAGCGTGGCATTCTTGTTTTGTTTTCTTTCTCAACCTCCCTATGGCCCGCGGTGTCCACTGGTCACTGTGCCTAACATCTAAAATTCCGACCCGTTCTAGTCAACTTCCAAACAGCCACCGTGCCACCTCCCTGTGCGTCCTGAGGTCGCCAGTGGGGACGTGAACTACTGTCAGCCCACCCACAAGGCTCCCTCTGTCCCATGATCCTCAGTGGAGGGGACAGGGTCGGGAGGTGCTGCAGCAAGACCTCAGCATCCCTCAGTGGGAGCTGCAGACACGGGGAGAGACACCGGATCCTCCAAGGGCTACGGGCTCACCAGGTCAGAACCACTGCCTGACCCTGGGGGCGGACACCCAACTCCCATGGTCAAAGCCTTGAGCCAAGAAGGGGGGGCATTTTCTACCCCAAGGGGGATGCTCAACAGTCTTCTCCACCTTAACCCAAAGTATTTTCGTGCTGAAATAATCCAAAGACAACAACGGCTGAGGCTGACTGGGAGCTGGCTACAGGTCAGGGGCTACGCTAAGCACCCTGATGCAGGGCCTCATTACTCCACCGCCCAGGGAGGAAGCCCAGGCCTCGAGAGCTCGTCGTTTGCTGAGGGCCAGGCAGAGGGGGATCGTGCCATCAGGATCTGAACCAGTGCGCTGTGGAGGAGGACAAGGCCGATCCTCGTGGGCTGTTCTCAGATCAGTGCCACGTACACCTCCGTGAAGGTGGTGAAAACGCCCACCTCCGCCGAACTCTGCCTGCAGGAAACCGTGCACAACTCAAGGAGCTTCCAACGTGTGTTGGGAGACCCGGCCAGGGCAGAGGAGGGAAGCCTGACCGCCCGGCCAGGGCAGAGGAGGGAGGCCTGACCGCCCGGCCAGGGCAGGGGAGGGAGGCCTGACCGCCCGGCCAGGGCAGGGGAGGGAAGCCTGACCGCCCGGCCAGGGCAGGGGAGGAAAGCCTGACCACCCGGCCAGGGCAGAGGAGGGAAGCCTGACCGCCAGGCCAGGGCAGAGGAGGGAAGACGAGGGTGGGGTCTGCGCCTCTGGCGGCCCTTAGGAGGCTGTTGGCCTCTCCTGCTCTCCACGACTGTCCGTCGTGTTTACCACAGAGCATACGGAGATCCAGGCTTCATCCCTGCCACCCACAGAGCTCCAAGAGAGAGGGACGTCCTACTGTGGCTCACCCCTGCGCCCCAGGGTCTACAACAGGGCCTGGTACACTGTGGGCGCTCCGGAAACCCTTGCTGTTGAATGAACGAATGGTTAGCAGGCCACAGACACTGCCAAGGTCACCTTGCAAACCTGGGCTCTGGCGTTTAGTCCACTGGCCCAGGCCCGCCCTCACACTGTCCCTCACCTACAGGAACGCATCCTGCGCCTACTGTAGAAGTGGAACTGTGACAGCGGGTAGTGTGTAAGCCTGGGGCTTTCGGCGGGAGCTACCTGAATTGCAGTGAGCGCCGGATGATGGCCAGGGACATGAAGTCGCCTCTCTCGTGCTCGTCCTCCCCGCAGTAGAGCAGCAAGCCGTCCTCCGCCTCTGCCTGTCAGATGAACAGAAGCCGCGGGAACAATGAGCACCGCCCGGTCCACAAGTGCCCCCTGGAGAAGCTCAGGGGTGTGCAACTTGAGCGTTCTCCTCTGTGGTGCTAAAGGGGGACAGGCGCACGGACTCAGTGAATCCCCAGGTACCCAGTTCCAGTTCGTTTCCGATACCCCACTGGCAGTGGTGTGAACTGTGTGAGGAGCGGCAGGGGGTGACAGCGAGGAAGGCAGCGTCCTGTTCCTCCTGCTCCTTCCTTGCTTTGTGGAGCCACCAGCAGAGCCCCAGGAAAACCACGAGCACAAAGACCAGGGTTGCAGAGGGGCTCTCCTCGGGCTCATCAGCTCTGGTCTCTCCGGAGAGCATCCTACAGGTTTTATTTTTACTTCCCTCCCTCTGAGAAGCACGCAAATTTGCTCCTGTCCTTCTATCAGGGGAACAGGACAGTGCAAACCGCCCAGCTGGTGGTCTGGTTTGGTTTTCACCCATGTCCTGGACTGCATCATCTTTTGGACACTCAGCATTGTGACCATGCCCTGGCAGGGTAGCTCAGTTGGTGGGAGCATTGTCCTGATGCGCCAAGGGGTTCTATCCCCGATCAGGGCACACAGAGGAATCAATCAGTGGGTGCATGAATGAGTGGAACAAGTCAATGTTTCTCTCTCTCTCTCTCCCTCTCCTTCTCCCTTCCTCTCTAAAGTCAATGTAAAAGAACATTGTGACCGTGACCTCAAAGGAACTTGTTTCCAGATCTCTAGACATTTTCGTGTCATCTGAGATCCCCAAAAGAACCACTTCCAGCTGAAGTCACTGACTGACTCTGACTGCAGCTGGTTCAGATCAGCGAGCATCTCCTGGGCGCCACTCGATGCCAGGGTTGTGCATTCTGCTTTTTATTTGTTCCACATCACGGCGTAGCAGGGAAGGCGGGCATTTGGGCTCCCTTTCAAAGGGGTTCTGGAATGAGAATGCATTATGCCTTCTGACACCCTGGTGAGGGAGGGGTCACTTTTGTGAGCAACATGGCTGGGACCCAAACATTCTCCCTGGGAACCTTCGGGCCTGCCACTTGCACAGTTCATGAGATGCAGAACCCATCCCCCCTACTGGCGCCCTCGGATGTGTGACTGTGCCCAGCATCCTCGCCACCCTGCAAACAGGTTTCAGGACAGGCTCTGTGTCATATATACCTTCGATATTTACCTCCCTGCGTCCTCTCCCCTCTCCTCCTCCCTTTGGTGACCGGATGTCCAACGGGCACTCATCAAACAATGAATCCTTCTTACCCTAAATTCGAGAGTGATTTGAAATGCCTGATGGGAGTTCTTCAGAGGTTCAAAGGTTACGTAAGAGTGGCCGAAGAACTGAGGATACTGTATAACAATATCTGAAAAGAGAAAAAGACAACCCCAAATCGGGCCGGTTCCTCTCTTCTGCAAATGCAGACATCGATATATACGCCTGCGCCGGGGTCCTTACGTGAAACCTCGCATCTGTCCACCCCCCTTTACTGCCTTCTTTTCTCCACTTTCACACCTAGAATCCTCATTCCCGGGGACTCCGAGTTCCTGAAGTTCTCAGGGAGAAGCTGGACCTCTGGGGACGGTCACTTGCTGCCCGCACAGAAATGGTGGCTGCAGGTCACCAACCCGGCGTCCAGCCGTTCATCTGTGATCTGCGTGGGCTCAACCATGACCATTCTGAACTGGCCTGCGCATATCTCGGCTCTGCTTTGTCAGTAGCGATGTGATTAGAGCGAAGCCACCTCCCCGAGGTGCCAGTGGGATGATTTATTCATTGCAGCGAAGTATCACACACAGAAATAGGGCTGCTCTCCACCAGCGAGCAGGAGGGGCCTCGTGCGTGCCCTGGGCCGCTGATTTAGGGACATGTGCATGGAAGGAGGGGTTGTCTTAGAACAAGGGCTAGGGAAACCCAGAGGTGGCTTCCCGTGGGGCCAGCCCGCCACCGTGCCCCTCCCTGCAGTGGCCTACCTTCCGAGCAGCTCTCGCCACCTTTGCCCAGGCTGCAGTGGCACCGGGAGTGCCCCCAGGTGTCGTCATTGGCACAAAAGCTGCCGGCAGGGCAGAGCGTTTCATCACAAGGCAAGTCGAAGAGCCTGGGCATCGTGGGCACGCCCTTCTTTCCTTCTCTGGTCTCCGGGGTGGGCTGGGGGGCCACCGCAGTCATAGGAAGAGAGGCTAGGGTCGGGGGGGCAAGCCTAGAAACCGTCTTTGGGTTTGATCTTGGTGCGATGGTGGATTCCACCAGTAATTTCTTATTCCCTCCTTTGAGAGCAGGAAGTGGCTTAACCTACAGCCAGAAAAGGGTTAACAAAGAGCATCAGGAATTAAACTGCCTTGTTATGGTGAGCGCCGAATACTTGAAAATATAGTCACTTTGGATACGTCCCACGCCCTGGGGTATAGATGGGCAGAGAGTACTGACCTCAGTCTAGGGATGAAGAATTGGAGGCTCAAGGATTTTCGGTACCTTGCTTTGTATCGCCCAGAAAGCCAGCAGTAAAGCTGACATTATAAGGCTTATTATTACTATTATTGCAACATCACAAAGACAGAATTGTCAAGGAATTGTTCATTTCCTTATAATACCTGACTGCAAGGGTTTGCTTGGTGGGCAAGCTCCCTGTCCTGCCCGGCTGTGAGGTCAGCAGGCAGGCTGCCCACAGAACAAGGCATGGCTGGTGCTTAGTTACTACTAGTTTACGGTCACCTGGAGCCTAACGGTCAGAGGAAATAAATGTGTTAAAAGCCAATGAGCCCATTTCAGTCAGTTTTAAGTAAAACGTTCACAGTTCATTGGCCAAATTGCCTTGTTCAGCAAGAAAACTAAAACACGCTGGGTTTTAAGAGTAGAGATTTTTGTTACCTCCTCAAAAGAGATATCCAAATCTAAATCGTCTTCCAATCCTTCATCATCCTCATTGACCCCCGTGTCCGTTAGATAATAGGGTCCGTAGCGGCCGCTCCCCGCCTCCTCCGGGCCTTCGGGAGAAAAGCACACTGCGGTCACACACGCTGCCGCTCCTCGCCCACCCTGACGCGGTCACACACGGTGCGCCGAGCACATCGGGCCGGACAGGGCACGCAACGCATCAACACGGAAGACGGAGCATCAGTGACCAAAAAATATGAAAAACAGTTCATCTCATAAGGAATCAAGAAAATGCCAATTAAACCCAGAAAGAGCTCCCATTGTATACAGACAAGACTGGCAAAAGTGTAAAAGTTGGCCAATAAGAAATATCAGCAAGGATGGGATCAATGGGGACTCATATTCACTGATGTCAGACATGTACAACTCCTCTGCAAAGCACTTGGAACTATTTGATAAAGTAGAAAATGGTCATTCCTTCGGACGCAGCAATCACACCTGGACTTATAAAACCTGGAAAAACACATGTACCAGGAGATGTGCAAAACATGTTCATCGCGTCAGAATTTGTAACAGCAAAAGAGATCTCAAACCTGCTAGTATAATACCTCTCCAGAGAGAATGCGTAAGCGCTCCACAGGAGGTCTATGGAACGGAGTATGATGTAGCAGGGAAAGGAATGAATGAGCATTTAAGGACACGTCAACATGGCTTAATCTCATGCCCAAAAATGCCAGTTGCAAAAAAACACATCCAGTTTAATGCCATTTATATGAAAGTCAACAGCAAACAAAACTCAAAATATTGTTTAAGGAAACATATATGTGCTGTTCAAATGATTAAGGAAAGTAAGACCATGACAAAAATACCTAGAAGGTTAGAAGAAGGATGTGCGTGGTATGTTACAGGTCCTTCCTTCGAGAGTGCTCCATAATCTATTTCTTAAAATAGGTGCTGGGTGCATGCAGTGTTCATATTATCTTTATATGTTATATATTTTTCTTTTATTTAAAAATATGTTTTTACTATTTTGTTGTTGTTGTTAGTGAGAAAGAAAGGGAAACATCCATGTGAGAGAGAAACATCAACTGGCTGCCTCCTGCACGCCACCTACCGGGGATCGAGCACACAACCCAGGCATGTGACCTGATGGGGAATTGAACTGGGACCTCTCAGTTCATGAAACAACACTCAGTCCACTGAGCCGCACCAGCTGGGCTATATTTGTTTCTTAAAAATTCTTTAAAATAAGAGACATACTGGAGCAAACACTCCCACACCCAGAAAAAAAGGGGCCCTATGTGGTATCTTGGGGGCCGCCCATTTTCATTCATTTTACAGGACAACGGGATCTTTATGAGTCGGAAGGTGGGCTGAGGAGAACCCTCAGGAGACAACACCAGGCATTGTCCTTTGGGGGTGGTCCGATTAGCATTTTTGTTCGGTTGTCAGTCATGAAATCTACTGATCGGCAACAGTTCTGACTTGGGCTGGACACAGGAGCACTTCCCGGGACGCGGGGTCTTTCGGATCTGCTCCCCGGCTGCCCATTTCCGCCCAGCAGGTTTCACGAGCAGGGCTACCAGCTGCCTTCCCCAGATGGGCACACAGGCTCCCGTCTCCAGGCCAGTGGCAACCTGGGCAACAGACTTCTGTAGGTTCTTGATGCCCATGGTTATTAGGCACCCAGTGTTTGGATGACGGGGAGAGAAGGAATGGAGGGAGGGAAGAAGGGAGGGGAGGGAAGAAGAGAAGGAAGGCAGAAAGGAAGGGAGGTTGGAGGAAGGAGAGAGAGAGGGAGGAGACATTGAAAACATAAACTGAACTTAAAGACATTCTGCTCTCAGAATAAACTCAGTCGAACACCTTTCTCGCAAAGGCAAACTCACCCTCTTCTAAGCAAAACAGCAAGCGGATTGAACACAAAGCTAAAGGAAAGGCAGAAATCTGCTCCAGGACAAGGAAGAGAAACGTGCTCGGCGGACGGTCCGGAGGCAGCCAGCCAAGGAGCTGAGTCAGGTGGTCAGGATTGTCTTGGTGGAGGTGGGCTGGCACACCTCACTTTTATTTAGAATAACCCACATGCCAGCTGAAAATTCAAGCCTGTGGATGCCAGATTTATAACTGGATGCAAGTCCTCCCAAGCAAGCTGCGCCCAGCCAGCACAGCTGGCCGCCAGATGTTTTCACAGGAAGTCGGGGAGCCCTGGGAGACAGCGCCCCCTCTTGTCTCTCTGTATCTGTGTACTTTCCTCTCTCCCAGCCTCTCTCTCTTTTTCTCTGGGGCCCTTTCTTCCTCGGTTCCTTTCTCGCTATCCGTTTCTATATCCGCTTCTCTCAGATATTCAGAATTGTCGGGTTTCAGAGGAGAGCATCCATTTGGTAATAAAGGAATGACAAAGCACATACATGAAGAAAGCTGGGTGTTATCTTCAGGAGGCTGGTCTCACCCCCAGGGTCTTCTTTCTTGCCCTGGGCACATTTTTGTCATTCGTGTTCTATTCTCATTGGTGTCAAGATTCTTCATCTCCTCTTGCGATACTCTATCTGAAAAGAACTTCCCAAGATCCAGCCCCTATGGCCTACAAGGCAAATCCTCGGCTCTGTAGTCAAGAACTCAAGGATCTCAATGATACCAACTCCCCCTTCCCTCCTTCTTTCTCCTACCACCATTGGGCAATGAGGCCTACCGCCTGTCCCCTGTGACAGGTACCATTGTGTGTTTAACGCCATAGGTGTCTAAACCTCAGAATGCCCTGCAAGGTAAGCACGGTCCCCTTCGCTTTGCAGGTAAGTAGTGAAGCTCACGGGAGTGAAGTGCCTAAGATCGGAGACTTTCACCTGGACAAGCTGAAGTCCAAGCCAGGTCCGGCTGGCTGCCATTCTCCTGGTCACCGGTAAGAGAAGAGGCCACCGTACAGGCAGAAAGCCTGTCAGAAAACTAACGCTTACTGATCAGTCTCACTGAGCCAGGAGCTTTTCAGACCTTGTTCCTGTTAATCCTCACAAACCCTCTGACACTGGCATTTTTACTCCCAGTTTACCGCGTGGGGACATACCTCAGAAAGATGAGAGAACCTGCTCCCAGGCAAGGAGACAGGGGAGAGCAGAGCCAGTGTTTATCCTTGGACCCTCTCTGATTACATCACGCCACTTCTCATCTGACTCCAAAGCGTGTCTTCAGCCTTTCCCCCTTCTTCAACAGTCAAGCTGGTCGACCAGTTGACTTCCCCACACGTCTTGTGTTTTCTTATCCCAAGACTTTGCGTATGCTCTTCTCCACCCTGCCAAGCTGTTCCCTTCCCACATCCTTCTGCAGAGCCAACCCACCCCTCCAGCTACACGCATTCTGTGGAGACAGTGCATCATCAAAAGGCCCAAATCAAGTGATAGTTGAAGAAAAAAACATTTAGTGAAAAAAAAAAAAAGGTGTCTGCACAAAATCTGGAGCTGCCGAGACCTGTAGGGCATCCCTACATTTCGCCTGGACGGGGCTGTCCACACGTGGATTTTTGCTCCTAATCGTGAGCTCAGAATCAGCCCCATAGACTGATGAAATCAAGAGGTGTTTAGGACGGGGTTTACGCCCTCTGGGCTCCGGGCCTTGGAAAGCTGCCCTGTGATCCCCAGCTCTGCTGTGAACCCCTTGAGGGCAGAAACCATATTTTAGACTCGGTATTTCTTCCCATCCCCCATTTATCTAACAGGTCCCAGAGCAGCCGACGGCCAGGGTCTCCACCAGGTGCAGAGACACCCCTGCGATGTCCTGGGGAGACTCTGCCCCCAAGTCCAAAGACACACCCTCAAAACTGCCACCATTCCTGTCCCTTCCCCAACTCAGACTACAAGTTGAGTTGAAAAAGACCTTAGATGCCACCCAGCCGTAACTTTTCATTTCATAAGTGTGTGAACTGAAGTCACAGAAGAGAGGTGACTTCCTGCCCCCAGCCCCGCAGGAAGTGTGTCCGGAAGGGGACTCCTTGAAGAAAGGACATGATGCCTGGCCGCAGGTGCAGATGGCACCATGACAAGAATAGACATGATTCCAGATGCTCTGCTCATCCCGACAGGTAAAATAAGGCATGTTCACTGCGTAAAAATCGCTGTTTTGACACTGTGTATGGCAGACCTCCTAGAAGTCAGAAGTTACTTCTCAGTTTGGGGACAGAAAGGGTGTGGGACAGGAGTGGGGAAAGGAGCCCTGGCTGATTTGGCTCAGTGGTTAGAGCGTCAGCCCGAGGACAGAAGGGTCACAGGTTCGATTCTGGTCAAGGGCACGTACCTCGGTTGCAGTTTGTCCTTGGCCCTGGCCGGGGTCGTGCAGGATCTCTCTCTCTCTTTCTCTCTCTCTCTCCCCCCCCCCGCCCACTCTATCTGAAGATAAATGGAAAAATATCCCTGGTGAGGATTAAAAAGAAGGAGTGGGGAAAGGAATATGGAATTACAAAGACTCAGAATCAAAGAAATCAGCTTGGCGATGAGCCAGCACTAGTCCATTTTACAGAGCAGCAAACTGATGCTCAGTAGTCCATGTGACTTGCCCGGAGAGGCAGCTCATTGGTGCGGGGCGGATCGAGAACTCTGGATTCCCGGCGCCACACTCAGGTACCCTTTGCAGCATTTCAAATGCTGGCTCTCACAAAAACCCAAGCTAATGGTCATTTCCCATTTTTCATAGGAAGAAGTGCGCCCAGAGAGGACCAGACACAGCATGACTAGAAACCCTGGGATGAAGCTCTCTGCTGCTGGGTCCCGCCAGACCCGCTCCCTCAGAGCCCCAACCCAGGGCTTACACGAAGTTTTTCCTGATGCTATTTCTAAGTGCCGGCAGAATGCACAGTCCAAGCCAGTGGTACGAATTTTCCCAGGAGCCTGGGGCTATGATAATTAAAGCCTATAACTCATCTCTTTCTACTTGGCACTTTGTTAATTAGGAAAAGAAAACATTAAAAGAAAGGCATTTGTTTAGAACCAGAATAGTCAGAACACTGACTGACTGCAAAACGTGTTCAAGGGTGTTCCACTGTAAGGAAAACGAACACACAAAACACAAATTTCTATGACTAAATTAAGGATGGCTTTTTATTTTACAAAAACTGTATGTTTGTTTT